ATAATCATACCTATCCGAATATTCGACAATTCGAATATTTCGAATAATCTAGTGCCTCAAACAATGCTGGTTTTTTCTTTGTTGCGTTTTTTGCAAAATAAAGTTAATCGCTATATTTGATCTAGATTTGTAGCTGATAATTATATGTGTAGCAAATGATAGAATGACTGGGTTATTATCGTTGGTCAGGGTTCCAAATGGGAAACAGAAGATTTTCACTCAAACATGTAGTTTAAGGTGTTCATGGTCTTTTAAGATGGCTACTAAGCCTTATTTAGTAATCGTTGCAAGTCCGCATTTATTCTTTCTCACAGAAGTTTCTCTTAAAGCTACACAGAACTTTTCCCAAAGCTAGAAATTTAACATAGAAAACCTTTTAGATTAGATAATTGTTTGTAATTCATTCGTAATGGTCAGCATTGCTTGAGTTCTAAGACTATAGTATAGCTATAGCACTCTCGGAACACGAGGAAGACCTTCAATAAAATCAGTGAACTTGTGCTGTGTCCCGAAAGTTTTGCCCGTTTTTTCATACCACTATAAACCACGCACAATAAAAACCTTTATGAGTTTCAACATGCATTCGATGCAGCTTTTTAAAAATACATTTTCGAACCACAATCTTGTATGCTTTTTTTGATAATTGCCAAAATTCTCCATCTATCAATTTTATCTGCTCAAAGTTAGGCTGCTTTTTTGAAATCTTATTCCAAAGTTTCGGAAAGGACCAAGTGTGGATCAGATAGAGCAATTTTCGGATCATAAGGTGTTATTTTTAAATTCTCTTAATTTGGTATTTTTAGCTTCAAAAACATTATTTCTTCGGAAGTCCCGATTTTTTTCTCATGAAGCACGCAACTGCAGTAAATACACGAAAGCTTTTGAGACTTTTTCAAATTGAAATACGATTCTTATTAAACATTATTTATGCTATATAACCAATTCGTTTTGCTTTGAAAAAGCAGGTTTTCGGAATTCTCGGTATTTTTACATGGTAAACGTAATTAAAACCCGCAGTTTTTATGAAACAAATAATTATAGTGGGCTTGGTAAACATGGCCCATGTAATCCAAAATGGGTGCAATGTAGGCAAAGGCTTGCTCTACATAAAAATTATCAGCGCTCTTTGAAGACATCGGGATAAAAATTTTTGAAATTCAGTAAAGATTTGGCGTTTCTTCTGAGCTGCTCAGAAAGCCGTAGCGATAACTTTGCAAAAACAGAGTAGATCAGAGAGCAAATACAGCTGTAAGAAAGAATATAAAAATATGTATCGTACCGCACCTAAGATGTCCATAAATTGGTGTTCTGTGAGTTCTAGTGAGCGATGAAAGAAACGGACAAAACTTTCAGGACCAAACCTAATACTTCTGTGCTCATTCGTCTAAATCCAGAAAAAGAAAACTCATGGAAATATCCATGTTGTATTAGTGTCTGTTCAGTTGTTTTCTCGTATGATCTGCCCTCGCTGAGGCTCCTGAGACCTCAGTGCGCGGGAAATGAGCACTATAAAAGGCGCTCGCTGTTAGCCATTGTCAGTTCATTCGTTCACTACTTTGCCTCTCATTTTCTATTGTCTTTTATTATTTCTGTAATAGATATATTTGTTTCCTCTGTGCCTGCCTCAGGACGAAGAATCGAAGTGGCCGGAGTCAAGGACACAACAATCTGTATATTAGCTGATAATCTAATACTTGTCGAGAATTATCAATGAGTAGTTTCACAGTTTCTGTTGTAGGATTGATTTGTAATTTTGTTGCAAGGGAACTTCCCTATCTTTTACTCAGGTTCACAATAACTATTGTTCGACCTACACAACTACTCTAAGTATTAATCCTCCACGATGGCAACATTCTAACACTAGTTCTCTACTCCTTCGGACTACAAGGGCAGCCGATTTGGGTATAGTGATTGATATACAGGCTGCCGCCACAAGTCAAGTGGCTCAGGTCCTCACGACCGCCTTGCTCTGGCCTTGCGCTGTAACGTATCTTTCAGGTATTTTGACATGCGAACGGTGAGGGTGTATGGCGTTTCGCACGCTGGGCTACTGTACTCTCGACTTTCGTTGCAGGACCAAGGTGTGAGCTCAGGCAACGCGGACGAGTTGTGCCCCCAACTGAACGGCGTCGGTGCAGCTCCTGCTGGAAACGATCCAGAAGAGGTGGAAGAGGTAGCGGAATGGGAGCGAAGATCTCTTGCCGAGTACGAGGAGAGTTATCCAGAAAGAAGTCGAAAAACGAAAGAAGACGGGAGATGAGGTATTTTGTTTGTCACTATCTCCGCGATTGACCTTCCTTTATCATTTTTAATCCGACTTTCTCGTTTCTCATGAGTTTTCTGTCTCGTCAAATAATACATCCGGGTAGAATTGTTTTTTTTTCTCTTTTTTCTACCATACTTACAACATTGACCACAGTGACGATAAAGGTTTCTGAATTTCCTGCAGCCTTAGAACTCAAATTTGCAATACTTCGCGCTTTCCGGGCGTATCTTTTTGTTTACGCGGCGTACGTTAGTCACCAAAGATCATTCGCAGCGGTTGGTAACTAAGACCTCCATTGACACTCATTTTTACGTCATCGAAATGTCCACGTTTTCTTCTTCATTACACTCTGAGTTGTTCTGACATTGCATTTACGAGCGCAGCTTTCGGTTTGCTTCCTCAATGCTCCTTAGCCTAATTCACTTGCCTTCTTTTGTAAAATAGTGCCTCAAGTTCGTTTTTTTTCCTTTCCAAGTTGATCTTTCCAATTTAGACAATTTCCCGTACGATCATCTATGGGCAACGCTGATTAGTGGCGGAACTATTGACGTCACTATTGGAGGAAGTCGCTGTATCTTTATTATCTTTATCTGATACGCTCGAGGCGTGCTGACAAAACAACAGAACAAAAAACCATGAACACATGTGTCAGGCTACTCAAGAACGAAAAGAGGTAGAGAAAAAGAAAGAAAAGAAAAAAGAAACGCAGTAAAACAAGGACATGACTGTACGGCAGCCGGTCCAGTAATTTATCAATAAAGCAACGCAACGAAACACTAAAAACGAGCCTGAATGGCATGTTAACTCTCAAAACCTGGATGTTGGCTAACTCTAAAACCAGCAATATCAAACTATCCTTTCAAGACAGCAGGGAGCCCCTTCCTCAAGCAGCGGGAGCAGAGCGGAGGCCCGACGAAACGGGATAACCGGCAGCCCCCGCCAGTACACCCATACGGATGCACTGGCTGGGGGCAGCCAGTACACCCGCTCGTCGAAACAACCGCACCGCCAACACCACCGGGCCACGGACGACCAGCGTGTCCAGAAAGGTAGAAAGATAAGCAGGAAAAGAAGTTGAAGAATCTGCGCTATGAGAATACAATCACACCCAAAATCTTCTTTCGGCTCGCTATTCAAGCTCGTTAGTGCACGAAAGATAGCTTAACAAACAATAACTAGAAGTGAACAAAGTACACTTCACGCAGGAGAAAGATCGAGCTAACTAATGGGCATTGGGAAGAACAAAGGGAGTGTATCAGCACAATCAGGAAAAATGAGGTTGATGTTACTTGACATCATGAATATGCAAAAGATGAAGAACATCAGTTTTTGAAAGAGCCTTTTTGAACTGATAGGAATTTTTGAGACAAAGCAAAGGCGGCGGTAGGCTTTCGAGCCACTTGCTTGTTCTGCAGATAAAGGTACTAAGACGGCGCACACGATTTGTGCTTGGCAACTTGGACAAGCGGAAAGCGAAGGAACCATGACGACCATAGACAGGACGGAAGGTCCAGAACTTGGAGGGTTTCAAACGCGTTTCACCTCTAAGTATCTTGAAGGCTAAAATCAAATCGGCTTCAACTCTTCTGTAATACAAGCTTTTGAGGTTCAACTCTTTCAAGCGAATATGATATGGACGCAAAGCCTGCGGGTAATTTGAATCTGGGAAAGCACGATAGTATAACACTCTGGTGAATATTTTCTGGACATTTTCAATTTTATCAATTTCTTTTAATTGAAAAGGGCTCCAGATGGGACTGCAATACTCGACCAAGGGGAGAATGAACATTTTATAAAGCTTAATCCAAAGAAACACATCCGAACTGTGTATGTTTCTGAAGAGGCAGTACAAAACTCTCAGAGCCTTCGTTACCACGAGCTCTATATGACAACTAAACTTTAGCCCACTCGAAATCAAAACTCCAAGGTCACGCACTTGATTAGCTACCACCATAGACCCTAAGTCTTCATTTTCAATCTTCAAGGAATCGGGTCCTATAGGAAATAAGTGACTTTTACCAAAGTTTACTTTGAGTTTCCAAAGTTTAGTCCATCCAAACATTCTTTCGACTGATTTATTCAAGGCCGCTTGGACTTCTTCTTTCTCATTTTTATTATAGATCGCTGTGACCTTAATATCGTCAGCGTAAGCGTGGACAAAAATTCTCGTATCTGTTTTCAGATGGGCAGGCAAGTCATAAGTATAAGTAATGATGCAATGTCCTATGAGTCAACCCAGCTGTTGTCTGATGCGGTTCCTTGTTTCATTAGCAGCTAGGTTAGATGTACATAGTCTGGTATAGAATTAGAGATTGTGAGATAGCTATTCGTCGTTTGTCGGATCGATAGCTCAGTTTTGAAGTGAATGTCACAGATTACAATTTACCTTTGCTCAGTATCTTCGCTACGATACGTGTAAATTTGCTTGTAATATGTAAATATAGATATTCTTTATTCAACTCTTCTCATTCTTGTCGCAGTTACAAAGGGTACTTATGTTTATGCAAGTCGAATCTTTCGCCAATTTGCACTTTTTTATCAGTCATGTTTGGTTGCTGCCAGCTCGATCAATCCGAACAGCTGTTTTTTGTACATAGTGTATGATTTTTCTCTTTTAGAAAATAAAGTTTCATCTTTTCTTGAATCCTATAATATCTTTATCGTTGAGCGAGAACTATCTATCTCTAATTTTAACTTAAGTGTGATTAATGTGTTTGAGTTCATTAAGGTTTGTATGTTGTCATTGCGACTGGCAGCATCGTTACGTCATTGCGGATCTTCATTAGTTCTTCAACACACTACAAAATGGCTAGCAGAGAGTGAGTTCAAGTTCTGAAATTTTTATAAATTCACCACATTCACTCGTTCGATTTGCAGAGTTTGACAACTTCATCGATTATTTCAACAGACCAGAAATTGATGGCTGGGAAGTGAGTAAAGGTACGTTGTACTTTACAGTTTTTTTCTAAGCGTTTTTTCTTTCTCTTGATCTACAATATTCTTTTTGCATTTTTTCCAATTCAATATTCCAGCTCTCACCGAGCTTCACGACTACGATGTCATACCTGATTCCAAAGTAAGCTCTTTCCGTTTGCGTTTTTTTTCATCATTGTTTTTTGATAGAGGCATGGGTAGCGTGAAGCTATCGTTTAGTCTCAGTTTCGTGCTATGGCTAGTGACTAGATGCTAAAAGTTGCTGCTATCCCCTTTGATGACGTATAAATGATAGTAACTTCATGCTCCGCCGCCAAAAACTCAGTTAATAATAAGTAGCACGAAGTTAGGAATGAATTACACTGACAAGAGACTAACTTGTTACTAACTTGTTTGACCTTTTTATTGTTGGATAACTTGCATGTCTTCTGATGCAGCTTGGTGCGCTGATTCCAAATTTGTCTACGGTGGCTGCTGAGCAGCTCCGAGGAAGTTATGGGCATTTTTCTTTGCGATTTTTGCTCGCCGTGACCCAAGGAAAGCAGTGGACTACTTTTTCAATTCTAGTCTACTAGATCATATCATTTTCAAATGTTGTACAACTATCCTTTCTTCTCTAGAGGTTCCTTTTTGGCACATAACAGGCATTTCCACCAACTTGAGAGATTTTGCTTACTCTGAACCATGAATCCGCAGAAAAAAGGGCTCATAATTCTCTTCTGAGAAGCGATCAGCAGCTAACGAACAAAAAATTGAAATCGGCGCATTGACATGCACGGAGTGGTATGCACTGGATCCAAAAAAGCTGGATTGACTTAGTATTATTCCTGTTTGAGTGTATGATGGTGTTTATCCTATGTGCTTTGCAGGTGGTAGAAGCGGCTTTTCGTGCTTGTCGTGGCGTTAACGATTTCGCTCTCTGTGTTCGATACTTGGAAGCGATTAAGAGCAAGTGCGGATCAAAGAAAAATAGAGATGTCATCTACACATACATAATCAAAGAGGTATGCTCTTTCTTCAAGTTTTTTTGATTCATGGTGATATTTGTCTGCTATAATCTTCGTGATTCTATAAAAAACTTTGAACTCTTTGACATCTCATAGATTTGACATTGCATTTTTGAGTTTTTGATGGTACAATGCAGGTCAGACCGGTGCTTGATGAACTTGCATTTCAACCCCAGAAGAGCCGGACTACGACATGCCCGACTTCTTCATTCCTGAGCCTGAGAAGTGGGAGAAGAAGTGGTGAGAATTGTAGTTTACTTATCTCAAGATAATTACAACGACCTTACCTCTAACATTATCTTTCAGGTACTATGACTACCTAAATTTTTTGGAAAAGATCGCTCAGCCCAACTATATCCAGCTAAGGTATGCAGTACATGAAGATTACTTGACTACAAAGTTTCATTTCAGGATGACGTGTTGCAAAGTAGATTTAAAACCACTGAAATTGATGAAACATCTTTCACCTACAAGGACCATTAAGTGAGTGCCTTGTTTTGTTTCCACTCGTTTGACTTTTGATTGAAACTAAATCAAAGGAAAATAATTTAATGCAGGATTTTTGATGTTGGCGGACAAAGAAGTGAACAGAAAAAATGGATACATTGTTTCGTAGGCGTTACAGCTGTAATTTTCTGCCTAGCTATAAGCGAATACGACATGGTCTTGGCTAGAAGACATGAGAAGATGGTAACATCATCATCTTCCTGTTGATTGATAAGCAGTGTCAATATTACAGAACCAGATGATGGAATCAGTGGAATTTTTTGATTCAATTTGCAATAACAAATGGTTCACAAAGACTCCAATAAGTCTGCCTTTGAGCAAGAAGGATCTTCTTGAGAAAAAAATCAAGCAATCGCCTTCAGCACATCGCTTCCCCGAATACGTCGGTAAGTACGCATCTTGTATGAATATTTGTTATCAAGAATCTCGTCTTCTATTTGTCTTTTCCATGCGGTCAACGTTAATCAGTTCAAATTCTTGCTACATTTGGCACATATCTCTTCCGTTTCCAAACCTTCATCCAATTTCATGCAACTTTGGGAATTGCTGTTTTGCATCCATATGAATTGCCGTCAGTCTTTCTTTTCTTTTTAGTAATCGTATAAGCACTTCACATCCACTTTTTTTACTCAAAAATGTTGTCCAATATCTATATTTGCTATCTGGCTTGGTGATTCTGCTTATTTTCATTCTCAGTCGCGTGACTGCGAACAATTTTTTCTCATTTTCGTGGAGATTCTCCTAGAATCGTGCATCTCTCAGAATCGTTCCCGTATAAACCATCTAACATAACAGTTTCAAATAAGCGCCTTGAATTTGCTGGAGTCAACGTGCTAAAACCATCGAAAGGCAGTCACGTTGATGGTTCATATGGGAACAATTCTGGGGTCGCACCATATTTCGAGAGTGATCGTATTAAGGGCATGGTATGGGCGGCTTAGAGCACGCAAAGACTGCGGACGTATCGGCTATCGGCGTCTTTTTGATCAAGCGCTCTTTTGTTTCTCTTGCCATCTATTGTCTCCCTCATGCACACGTATCTTGGTCGGGCGCGACGGCGCCCAGTCTTTGCGTTTCACGAACCGCCTATACTTGCTTGCGTTTTCACATGATTGCAAGAATGCACAAAACATTAAAGCAGTGGGCTGCCTACATCTAGCCTTTTCTGATAAGATTGAGTTCAGGGTAGATTATTAAGGCAGCAACCATCTTTCTAGCTCAGTCACCACAATAAACGAGATTTTATGAGCATGCCATTAGACTGCGTTGACACTGATCTAAAAGTTCGGTAAATGTTCCCGGACATCGATAATTGGTTTGATAGTAATTGTTGAGAGTTCATTTGCCTTTAAAGTCGATATCAATAGAATGAACCGGAATGTTGCCACCAAAAGTAGCCAAAGGGGTGGACCGGTGTCGAAAACATATGTGTGCAAAGTTTGACGCTGATCGGCTCACAACAAATGTCTCCATGAAGTACACATCAACTAACAATTTATCAAAACTAAGCTTTACATATGTACAGAATACACTCAAGCTTATTAGCTTTGTATCACCAGATGGGGTTTTTGTTGATCCTCCTAGTTTTAGTGACCTCGCACGTTCCCGTGCAGTGCCAACAACATGAGAATGTTGTTGCACAACATGTGGCCTTGTCGGATCCAACAATGCTGCGGTATTATTGTACACCGAGGAAGGTTACGGTCAATGCTGTGCAAAGATTATTTTTGAAGAAAAGCACAGGAAATCCGAACCAGTTAGGGAGACGTACAGACAGAAGAACCTGGGAAGATCTTTCGGAGAAACCGAAAATGCCACCACAATATTTTGCATTTCATCTTAACAAGAAGACGAAGCAGACACAGATTGTTGCGCGGAAGAGCTTTTTGAAAAAAGGACTCAAAAGTCGGTCGAGTTGAAACGATGGTCACAATGAAGGGCCGAATTTCTGCTCTATTTACAAAACAAGTGGTGTCGCAGTCCGTTCAGGATTCTCTGCCAAAGATGGGACAAACACGATCTCCGCACGTTAATTATAGCGGAATCGTCTACAGGTGCGACGCCAGAATAACCCGTTAAACTGATTTTGGATTTCTTTGTGTGCTGATTCTGAGCGGCACGCCTCGGTTCGTAGGACGTTGACGTGCTTTCGAGCGGATATAAGGGCCATGGCGACCTTGCGTAGGCCAGAAAGAGAATGATTCCATCTCAAAGCGGGTCATGGTCACAGGAAATCACAAGAATTGGAGATAGTCGGATGTTGGAATTTGATGTTGCCATTAACAAACGCATCTGAATCAGCCGCTCTTACTGAGGGTGTCTTTTGGTGAGATTTCGAGACGAGGTGATTGTGAGACAGGGATGCATTGCGCGGTGAAACTGCGGCAGAAAAGATGCATAACGTGACAGGAGTAGAAATATGACGTGATAACGTGATGGAAGTAAAAATACGGAAGCTTCCTCAGCAAATGAATCACGACGGAAGAGGTGCACAACACAAGAAATCGCTCAGAATTGACAGTTTAATGGATGAGCACCGACCATTGCTCTTGGCGCCATGTCCTTCAACAGCTACCATAGTGCATTATTGCAAAAAGATGTCACGCTTTGTTTCTGAGAAAATCTTGTAAGATTTTTCTTTCTTTACGCTTTTCCTCATGATGTAAGAACGCCTTTTCTTTTCCCATCTGAGCTTTCACGTACACGTGTTTATTCGGGTTGTTGATCACTTTTGAGTACGTAGATCATCTTTGTCTTCATCTTTCTTTTGCTCTTAACATCTCAGTCTTTGTCTTTCGTTGTATCCTTCCGCATTCAAGTCGTTTTGCCTTCATTCCTCCTACTAAATTGCCTTATGTTGCAATAGCGTATTTGAACAGAATTGTGTATCAAATTTTATCTGATTTCCTTATTGATCATCATGCCTGTATCATGCAATCCATCATCAGCTCTGCAATAACTTACATTTGTGTTTGCTCCTTCTTCCATTCTATCAATTCTCTCTATTCGGTTAGACCAATCAACTCCATTTGTGAGATCATTGAGCACATAGTGCGATGTCGTAAAACGATAGTTTCGTTCAAAATCACTCAGCCAAAATTGTTTGAAAGATAATGTTAATCATTGTTGATTCCTGATAGACGTATTTTTGACTGATTTTTTTCAACGAAATCTCCATCGGTCACAGAGGAATGCATTGACACCTTGTTTGACCTCATCGGAATAAAATAAAGGTCATTTGTGATGTAAGTGCTTTACTAGTTGGATACCAAAATTGTTTAGGTGAAGGTCATTTGTTTAGATCATTTCCTTGAAGTGTAGTTTGGTGGACAACGCTGCTTACGTTTGTGACTCGTAAAGCTATCCAAATCTATGGCTGTCATTTGGAATACAGTCCTGTCTAGAAAGGCGACTTACTGCGGTAAGTACTTTCTTATTCAAATTTTGATTTTGTAGCGATCTGCACTTTCTCGTTTTTAATTTTTGATTTCTTCTTATTGATTTGTAATTTGACGGGCTTTCTACTACGATTTCTTTGCAGGTGTGCTGAATGCATGCTTTGCAAGGCCTCAGAGACTGTCTTTGTCGAACATGAACCAAGTAATTCATCCCTGCTATTCTGCTCATACCGCTTTTTGAACCATGATTCAAGTCACTCTATGTCGTTGTTGGATTCCAATGAATTGACAACTGCTATGGAACAACATCTCAATTTTACCCCTCAGCATATTGATGTAAAAGAGCCGACAGAGCATAGCCATAAAGCTGAACATCTCTATAGCCGAGTAGCGTTGTGTTTTGCGGTAAAGGTCTCAGCTTATTAGGTCACTCCTGCCTAAAGGAATGAGTTCACACCTTCAGTTGTAACAGACATTTACAGTTCAAAAAGCCTCCTCCAGGTGCTCACTTGCATTGCTGTCCTTACAGACTTTTCGCTAAATCTACACTGTTTGTGAACATACTTGGAATTCAGACTGAGTCTAATGCCGCAACTCATCGCTTTTGTGCAGAAAATCTTTCGATGCATACAATCAGCCGCCAAATAAGACTGTAGCCTTTTGTACGATCATAATTCAATTTCGCCGCCTTCCGAACGCGCCCCTTTCTTCGGAACAATTTTCTCATTCAGGAGTAGTAAAGCAACACTCGGGTAAGTTCGCCTACGAGGTCTGCTACTGAAGTCTGCAGATTGTAGTCCCAGGCTGCTCTCAGATGTACATGTAGTGTATTCGCAATTGAAAGTTCTTTGAAACAATAACAACGAAACGTTTATGACGCTCAACATTCACAGACAGTGAAAGTAGGACAATCGAGACGAAAGGAGGCCTTTCAAAAATAATTCGATGAGGTTAACAGAGTCACATGGTCAGATACGCAGAAAGCACAGAAAATGAATGCCATATATATATATATATATATATATATATATATATATATATATATTAGGTTGTCCCGAAAGTTTTGTCGGTTTTTTTTCATCGCTCACCAAACCTCACAGAAAACCAATTCATGGACGGCCTAGGTGTCATTCTATTCATTTTTGTATCCTCTTTCTTATAGCTATATTTGTTCCCTGATCTAGCCCGTATTTAAGGTGTTATCGCCATGGCTTTTTGAGCACCTCAGCAGTAGCGCCAAAACTTTCCTGAATTTTCAAAATTTTTATCTTTATATTTTCGATGAGCGCTGGTGACTGTTATGTAAGGCAAACCTTTGGCTACATTGTACCCATTTTAGATTACGTGGGCCACGTTTATGAAGTCCGTAATAATTATTTATTTGAGAAAAACCGCAGCTTTTTGAACACGTTTTATCACGTAGAATTACCGAGAACTCCAAAAAGCTGATTTTTGAAGCAAATCAAACTTGGTTATGTTGCTTAAATGATGTTAAATAACAAACAAGATTGAATTCGCAAAAACTCAAAAGCTTTCATGCTTTTGCTGCAATTGCACGTTTCATGACTTTGCTAAAAACCAGGACCTCTGGAGAAATAATTTTTTGAAGCTAAAATCAGCAGATTAGGAGAATCTAAAAATATGAACTTATAGCCCGAGAGTTGCTCTATTTGACCCATACTTAGTCTTTTTCGAAACTTTGTAATGAAATTTTTGAAAATTAGCTCAACTTTGAGCAGGTAAAATTGACAGGTGGAGAATTTTGGCAATTATCAAAAAAAGCATACAAGATTATGGTATGAAAGTGTATTCATAAGAAAGGGAAGAAAAAGCTGCGTCGAATGCACGTTGAAACTAACTCAAATCTTCATTGTGCGTGATTTTTACAGTGGTTTGAAGAAACCGACAAAACTTTCGGGACAACCTAATATATACATATATATATATATATATATATATATATATATATATATATATATGTATATGTATGTATATATATATATTAGGTCGTTCCGAAAGTAATGTCGCTTTTTTCAAACGGGCACCACATTTGAAGTAACAAACCTTCCTAAGAGATCTTGGAGCCGTTCGATGCAGAATTTCGTTCTCTTTCTAATGGTTATGAAGCTGTTGCAATACGGTCAATGAGCTTCCAGAAAAGAGTCAAAATCTGCGACCTATGCTTTTTAAGATGGCCAAGTTTCACAATTTCTCTAAAATTTTATAACAAACCTCAGAAGGAGTCCAAGTAATAGATGGATGGAGCAAACCTACAGGAAACAGCACAACTTTTTTCTACTTTTCAGAGCTCGTCATATTTTTTGTACAGATTTTTTGTTGGAACCACCGAATTTCAGCAGGCTCGTCTCAGACACAAGTGCATCAAACACCAGTAAATCTTCGGATTTTGAAACTTACAAAGATGGATTATGGTTTGGCAACAATTTTACAAATCAAACTAGCATTCATCGCTTTGGTTTAGCAACTTTCGAAAATTTCGGGTGCACCTTGGGGTGCTTTGAAAAAGTTCAATTATGATGATTTTATCCCGGAAAACTTGATGAATTGGAAACAAAAAACAATCGCTAGAAAGAGGAGAAAAAGCTGCATCGAACGACACCCGAGTCGCCTGCCGATTGTTGTTCTTTGAGGTTTGACTTGACTAAATATGGAATTCGATGGCACTGAGAAATTGATTGTAGAAACTCTGAGAAGCAAGCTAAGGAAAAGAAAAAATTACTCTGTATTCTATAGTGTTTGCACTATCTATCTGCCACTTGTACTTTTTCGGAGATTAGGTACAAAAATCTAGAAAAATAGCCGAACTTGACCATGGCAAAAAGCATGAGTCGCAGATTTTGGTAATTTTTCGAGAGCTCATTGAGCATTATGCAGTGAAATTGCAACCGCCAGAAAGAGAATGAAATGCTGCATCGAATGCTCCTAAGATCTTTCAAAAATGTTGATTCCACGAATAGTAGGGTTCATTCGAAAAAAGCGACATTACTTTCGGAACGACCTAATATATATACAGAGTGTCCCAAAAAGATGTGCACACTGTTTGATCGTTAACAACTCTCTTGCTTTCATATCTTTTGCCGAGCTTGAGGTACCATTCCGTAGAGCGAGGATAAACTTAGATTTACAGTATTAAGCGAAACTCCAATCTCTTTTTGCTACTGTAGGATTACGGTATGAAATTCCAACATACAGCATCACTGTGGAATAAGTCTTTAATGAAATAATTTCAAAAAAATCTAAAAAATTGTGTAGCAAGGTTTTCAGGCATGCTGATTTCACTACATAACCTTCCATCAGTTTTTTGAGCTTTCTTGACGGCGTATTCACATTTCTGCTGAACACTGGAAAATCAGTTGTTACTCTAAATCTGAAATAACTCATGAAAGAAACGGTGTACTGACGTGCAGTTTTCATATTTAGAATCAGCTACTGCGATTAACCCAGTTCAAGAGTTTCTGGCTTATTCGGTTTTTTTCTGAGGCAAAATACAGCTTTACATTGCTCGAAATCCTCCTCGAAATCTCTATCGTAATCTTACAGTAATGAAGAGTGGCTGTCGATTCGCTCCATACTGTAAATCTAAGTTGAACCTCACTTCAAAGAATGGTACCTAAAGCTAGACAAAAGACATGAAAGCAAGAGAGTTATTAACAATCAAACAGTGTGCACATCTTTTTGGGACACCCTGTATATATATATATATATATATATATATATATATATATATATATATATATATATATATATATATATATATATATATATATATATATATATATATATATATATATATATATATATATATATATATATATACCGAGTGTCCCAAAAAGATGTGCACACTATTTGATCGTTAATAACTCTCTTGCTTTCATGTCTTTTGCCGAGCTTGAGGTACCATTCTGTAGGGCGAGGACAAACTTAGATTTACAGTATGAAGCAAATTACCAATCACTCTTTTTTACTGTAGGATCACGGTATGAACTTTCAGCATACAGCGCCACTGTGGAATAGGCCTTTTGATGAAAGAATTTCAAAAAATCTGAAAATTTGTGTAGCAAGGTTTTCAGGCTGCTGATTTCAATACACAACTTTCCATCAATTTTTCGAGCTTTCTTGATGGCGTATTCACATTTCTGACAAACAATGAAAAATTAGTTGTTACCCTAAATCTGAAATAACTCATGAAAGAAACAATGTACTGACGTCCAGTTTTCATATTTAGAATCAGCACCTTCGTTAACCCAGTCCAAGAGTTTCTGGCTTGTTTGGCTTTCTTTCTGAGGCAAAATACCGCTTTCTAAGGCTCAAAATCCTCCTCGAAATCTCTATCGTAATCTTACAGTAATGAAGAGTGGCTGTCGATTCGCTCCATACTGTAAATCTAAGTTGAACCTCACTTCAAAGAATGGTACCTAAAGCTAGACAAAAGACATGAAAGCAAGAGAGTTATTAACAATCAAACAGTGTGCACATCTTTTTGGGACACCCTGTATATATATATATTAGGTTGAACCGAAAGTTCTGTCCCTCCATTTTCAAAAATTCGTAACTTCGCCAGATTTCAACGGATTTGCTTGCTCGTAATTTTATTAGAAAGAATAGATCTTCCGCTTTCAAGCCCTGTTTTGCGGAGCTTCTGTTTCACACTGAGTGCCGAGATAAAAATGGAAAACTAAGACCATGTAAACTTTGACCATTTTAAGTTAGGTCACCAAAAATCTGGAATGCTGCAGAAAAATCTGAAATCGTCAGTACATATGTTTTTTGGCCTACCCTTTGCATCTGTGAAAAGTTTGTGTTGTTTGGACATCTCTGTGAGAAGTTATGAATATCGAGTTTACTATGGATAACGCCAAAATTAATTAATTTGGCAATTTTCGTGAAAATCATAACTTCTCGCAGAAACGTCCAAACAGCGCAAACTCTTCACAATTGCAAAGAGTAGGCCAAAAAACATATGTACTGACGATTTCAGATTTTTCTGCAGCATTCCAGATTTTTGGTGACCTAACTTAAAATGGTCAAACTTTACATGGTCTTAGTTTTCCATTTTTATCTCGGCACTCAGTGCGAAGCAGAAGCTACATAAAACAGCGCTTGAAAGCGGAAGATCTATTCTTTCTAATAAAATTACGAGCAAGCAAATCCGTTGAAATCTGGCGAAGTTACGAATTTTTGAAAATGGAGGGACAGAACTTTCGGTTCAACCTAATATATATTAGGTCATTTCAAAAGTTCGTTCGTCAGTTTTTCAAAAAATCATAACTTCCTTCCTTCTCGGTCGAATTTCTCGTATTGATTTTTGTTTGAAAGAAAAAACCTTTCTCTTTACAATAGCGTCTTTGCCATGAAATGGCGTGAAAAAGTTCAAGAGTTAGAATTTATTGAATAAATTTATTCAAGATTGGCAATTTTTAAGCTGAATCACGAAAAATTCCGAAAGTGTCATTATTTGATAGAGAAAATTATGCTCTTTACTACAGTGCCTTTCCCACGAACTAGAACGAAAAAGATCGAAAGTTATAAGCAATTAAAGAGATTTACTTCAGTTTTGCAATTTTTGAGCATGCCCAAAAGAGCGCAAAAACGTCACAAAAAAGGCGGGGAAAGCCAGGAACAGGGGTTTTGTGACTTTCTCTTTCTAGCTAAGCGATTTTTGTGCTAAGGGAGAGCAATTTTGATTTTCATGGAAACGTATAGCAAATTCCTAATGATTTATTACTTTTCATAGGAACTTTCGTTGAGCCAGGAGTTTGCCTAGCTAGAAAGACGAGAACATAAAACATATGTTTGTGTTTGTTTCGGTATTTTTTGTAACGTCTCAAGATTTTTGGTGAGCTTTTTTGAAATTACCAAAATTTGAGTGGTCTTCATTTTGCCTTTTTAAATCTGCGACTTGTGCTTAGTAGAACGAATTTAAGCCATTGTCAGAAACTACATAATCTCTTCATTCTAGGAAAAATTATCCCAGGCAGATCTAGGCAGATAGCAGAGAGTTACGATTTTTTAGAGAACAATGCGAACGAACTTTTGAAATGACCTAATATATATTAGGTTGAACCGAAAGTTCTGTCCCTCCATTTTCAAAAATTCGTAACTTCGCCAGATTTCAACGGATTTGCTTGCTCGTAATTTTATTAGAAAGAATAGATCTTCCGCTTTCAAGCGCTGTTTTATGTAGCTTCTGCTTCGCACTGAGTGCCGAGATAAAAATGGAAAACTAAGACCATGTAAAGTTTGACCATTTTAAGTTAGGTCACCAAAAATCTGGAATGCTGCAGAAAAATCTGAAATCGTCAGTACATATGTTTTTTGGCCTACTCTTTGCAATTGTGAAGAGTTTGCGCTGTTTGAACGTCTCTGCGAGAAGTTATGATTTTCACGAAAATTGCCAAATTAATTAATTTTGGCGTTATCCATAGTAAACTCGATATTCATAACTTCTCACAGAGATGTCCAAACAACACAAACTTTTCACAGATGCAAAGGGTAGGCCAAAAAACATATGTACTGACGATTTCAGATTTTTCTGCAGCATTCCAGATTTTTGGTGACCTAACTTAAAATGGTCAAACTTTACATGGTCTTAGTTTTCCATTTTTATCTCGGCACTCAGTGCGAAGCAGAAGCTACATAAAACAGCGCTTGAAAGCGGAAGATCTATTCTTTCTAATAAAATTACGAGCAAGCAAATCTGTTGAAATCTGGCGAAGTTACGAATTTTTGAAAATGGAGGGACAGAACTTTCGGTTCAACCTAATATATATATATATATATTAGGTTGAACCGAAAGTTCTGTCCCTCCATTTTCAAAAATTCGTAACTTCGCCAGATTTCAACGGATTTGCTTGCTCGTAATTTTATTAGAAAGAATAGATCTTCCGCTTTCAAGCCCTGTTTTGCGGAGCTTCTGTTTCACACTGAGTGCCGAGATAAAAATGGAAAACTAAGACCATGTAAACTTTGACCATTTTAAGTTAGGTCACCAAAAATCTGGAATGCTGCAGAAAAATCTGAAATCGTCAGTACATATGTTTTTTGGCCTACCCTTTGCATCTGTGAAAAGTTTGTGTTGTTTGGACATCTCTGTGAGAAGTTATGAATATCGAGTTTACTATGGATAACGCCAAAATTAATTAATTTGGCAATTTTCGTGAAAATCATAACTTCTCGCAGAAACGTCCAAACAGCGCAAACTCTTCACAATTGCAAAGAGTAGGCCAAAAAACATATGTACTGACGATTTCAGATTTTTCTGCAGCATTCCAGATTTTTGGTGACCTAACTTAAAATGGTCAAACTTTACATGGTCTTAGTTTTCCATTTTTATCTCGGCACTCAGTGCGAAGCAGAAGCTACATAAAACAGCGCTTGAAAGCGGAAGATCCATTCTTTCTAATAAAATTACGAGCAAGCAAATCCGTTGAAATCTGGCGAAGTTACGAATTTTTGAAAATGGTGCGACAGAACTTTCGGTTCAACCTAATATATATATATATATATATATATATATTAGGTCGTTTCAAAAGTAATTTCGCTTTTTTCAAATGGACACCACATTTGACGGAACAAAGATTTCTAAGAGATCTTGGAAGCATTCGATTCAGAATTTCATTCTCTTTTTAATGGTTATGAAATTTTTGCAAAAAAGTCAATGAGCTTTCAGAAAATATCCAAAATCTGCGACCCATGCTTTTTGAAATGATCAAGTTTCACAATTTTTCAAAACTTTCATATCAATCCTCAGAAGGAGTTCAAGTAAAGATTCGATAGAGCAAACCTTACAGAATACAGTACTACTTTTTTCTCTTTCTCGTAGCTCGCTGTAATTTTTCAAGAAATTTTTTACCAAAACCATCGAATTTTGGCATGCCTAGTCAGGCACAATCGCATCAAACAACGGTAATTATTCGGAATTTGAAACTTCCAAGATGGTATATGACTTAATATTGATTTTACAATGCAAGTGAGAGCTTGCGGATTTAAAGTATCAAATTTCGATTTTTTTCGGGTACAGCCTGGGGCTCGCTAAAAAAATGAGTTATGATGATTTCTCTCCAAAAACCGAACGAATCGGAAACAAAAAACACTTGTTAGAAAGAGGAGTAAATGCTGCATCGAATAGTGCGCGAGCTGCTCTTCTTTTGATGTTCTACGAGGATTTAGCTGCCCAAATATGGAAATCGGTAACATCAGTTAAAATTCTGTTAAAAACCTATGACAAGCTATGGAAAGGAGAAAAAAGTAGTACTGTATTTCATAAGGTTTACTCTATCGAATCCTTACTTGAGCTCCTTCTGAGGATCGGTATGAAAGTTTTAAAAAATTGTGAAACTTGACCATCTCAAAAAGCATGGGTCGCAGATTTTGGATATTTTCTGAAAGCTCATTGACTTTTTTGCAACAATTTTATAACCATTAGAAAGAGAATGAAATTCTGAATCGAATGCTTCCAATATCTCTTAAAAACCTTTATTCCGTCAAATGTGGTGCCCGTTTGAAAAAAGCGAAATTACTTTTGAAACGACCTAATATATATATATATATATATATATATATATATTAGGTTGTCCCATAAGTCTTTTCATACCTGACTTTTCAACGACATAAATCAGTTCTTCTTGAACACCTGATAAATTGCGGGGTACCATTCGACAGATCAAAGTAAGCTCTACAAGATGGCGTTCAAAAGTTCGCATCAAGTCCAATCCGCAACATGCTCCAAACCAAAATAAAAAATTTTTCCGAATTTCCGAAAAAACGAAAATCATCATATCTCAGTTCAAAACAACTCTGCAGATTTCCTATTTTTTCATGCTTATACTCTCCTCATCGGATGTTTATAAATGCACTTGCTGCATTTTTCTGATGGCTAGAAACCAAGAAAAAAATAATGCGCTCAATTTTCAAACTTTGCCTGTATCACTTCTGTATTCCCCGCAAGTAGGTGGTTATATAGCTTATTCGCTCAGAATTACTGCCAAAAATTGGCAGCCTACTAGGTGCTGTAGTTCCTGAGAAAAATCGAATTGAAGGTCCGAATATGAAAAAATTTATGGGACAACCTAATATTAACAAACCTACATAAGAACACGCTTGGGAGCACCTAAGAGAAGTTCTTTAAGAACTGTAAAACATCATCGTATGTCAATATAGTGAAATGGAAAAGGTGAGAAAATCTTTTGGTACAGCATGAAGTTATGCAACAATATTACAATTTACAAAAGTGCAAATTTCAGCTTTCAAACATCAAACTTTCAAACTCAAAAACTCGTATTCGATTGATTAGATAAGTCCGATTATGCACACAGTGCCACAAACGAATCTATGTACAGTGCTATTCGAACATAACAAGATGACAGGGATAGTTTATAATGCATGCAATTTACGGTACATATGCATTTCTAACAAGCTGTCCGGCACAGGCTTCGAAAAGAAGCTTACCGTTTTAAGTAGATGAAAAAACAACGTAAAAACACGGTTTGATCAGATGGTCGCAAAAATCGCACAATACAACAAGGAAACGAGCAAAAAACATAGAGAAGTACCGATCATTTCCTCCACTGAGGCTGATATTTAGCCTATGTAGAGTTCGGCATGAAGCGGCACCAACTTAGATTTATTTCATTCATCGCGTAGCTCATTGGGGCAATCATAACCGCGGTCACAATCTGGGGAAGTCAAAGGCTAGCAAAACATGTATGAGAAAACCGTGAAATGCTAGCAATCTTGGAATGGAAAGCGGAAAACTACTGTAAGCTCAGCAAAACACAACAAAAATAAAAGACTCACCACGGATAGCAACGCCAGCCACATCCAGAATCGCATGAAGCCTAACCTACAGCACAGATGCCATTGTAGGCAAAAAACCCACATGACGTTAGTCCAGAACATACTAACTTCAATAAATGTAGTAACTCTGAAATAAAGTTAATCAGAACAAACCAGCACGGATAAACTTAGAGCGAGATACCTGAACAGAACAGTAGTAACAGCTCGTAGTGATCGTAGGCAAGCTGGCCTGGCCTGAGATACTTGAACGCTGGTATGAACGTTTTCCTGATATTTCCAACCAGAACTGCGAATGATGCCATCATTCTCAAAATGTAAGAACAACTCGATTGAATCAGCAATCCTCTTGCGCCTGAATTTCGCAAAATGATCTAGGTTCGGAAGTTCGAAAACTTATTTCCGTTCCCATCCAGCTGCTTCACGCAATTCTTCACGAAGACGCCGTCGGACTTTCTGCGTCAAAGCTTTCCGATCTCGTTTGGCTCGTCTTTCCAACTTTTTCTCATCATAGACGTCATAAGTGTTAGTAAAATTTGGTGACAAGACGTCCAAAGCTATATATTAGGTTGGCTAAAAAATAAGTTCGGTCGTTTTTAGCGGTTTGTAGAATTGTCACAAATCAGTTTTTGTGTGTATGTATGGTACCATTGGAAAGAGCAAATCAAGGAGAATCGGAAGGTTAACTCTGTTTTCTCAAAAATAATTTTTTTGATAATGAAGTGATGAGAAAAAGAAAAATGTTCCGATTTTGCCCTCAAAATTTCGAAAAATCACGCTCCGAAAAACGAACTGAAGTCAGGTGTAAAGTGTAGATTCGCCACCGATACAGCAAATTTTTGTATTTCCAACCACTCAGATAATCGCTGGGGGCAGGCGGGCACCGGAAAAATAGATTGCTGATTTCTCGCACCCCGCTCGCGGATTTTTTGCAAAGCAATCAGGATTTTTCGGAAGACCGCTTGCTGAGTCAGCGGATTTTTGAGAGACCGCCTGTTGAATTTTTTTCGCCCTTATCTTTTGCAGATATATTGCTGAATCTCTGAGGAATCGAGAATCGAGCAAGCGGTCTTCCGAAAAGTCCTGATTGCTTTCCAAAAATCCGCGAGCGGGGTGCGAGAGATCAGCAATCTATTTTTCCGGTGCCCGCCTGCCCCCGGCGATTGTCTGAGCATTTGCATGGCCGTAGATGGTCAAATTCGAGCTATCTGGAATGCCCAAAATTTGACCTTCGCGCGCAAATGCCTGGAAATTTTCACAATTTTGACTGCAGAAATTCAGAAACAACAGGTCACAATCTCTATTGTAGTTCGCCACAGCAGCCAGAGGTTGTATATACCCAGCCACCAAACTACTCGCCTGTGTACTCACTGCAGACTGAGAACGAAAGTTAGAAATTCAAAAAAACGATTTTCTAGAAGTCTGACTATATAAGGTTATAACTGTCTTTTTTGCTAACACAAAATCTTGCCTGTTCAAAATTTAAGAGTAGAGGCTTGAGGCTATCTTCTCACGAAAAAATCTTAGCTGAAAAGGTGTTACTTGATTTGTTATGAAGCTTTGAAATTGCATGTCAAAACGAACTTATTTATTAGCCAACCTAATAGAAAAATGTATAGGAGGAAACCCAGAAAATTTTTGAAAAACATGAAAATTACATACCTGCTGGATCGGCTACACTTTTGTTCTCATTACCCTTTTTCGAGGGATTAGGATTCATTTGAAGAATGCGTCCCCATGCACTAGTCTAGACAAATACATATATGATCAGTAACAATGAGAAACTACGTGCTATTTTTTGCTTAGATAAAAAATAAAAATTGTCTGCAGATCTATGGTAAAAGAAGCGTAGTAGTGAAGCAACGACCAACTCAAACTCTCGTTGACTTAAGGCTTTCTTCACAAAACTAATGCTGGTCCAAGGCAGTGCACAGGCATTGTAACTCTAACTCTTCAGAAGATGCTATATGACACTCTAACTAAAAGAAAACAAAGATAATGAGACAGTTCCTACATAAAGGCGGAAAGCCCGCCGAAGGCCCGCAACCCAAAGGGGCACATGTGAGGTAATGCTCCAATCGGATAATCGCGAACGTATGCTGGAGCGTTCCTGCAAGAAATTTTCATATTTACTCTCAATAATTCTGTAACGTGCTGCTACTGCTCGGCTCCCAAGCCAAGCTGAAACAAAGGAACGAGTCAATCTCGTTGAAGCAACTCAAAATAAAATCAACACCTGAATGACAAATGAGTTATACACTGTATTATCAGAAGGGGTTCAACGCAAGCTTGCTTGAAGACAAGACAAACCGAAAGTGCAAAACCCAAAGTTGGAAATGCCTGAGCACTGCCTTCAAAATTTGCTCAAACCTTGGATTCATCACTATCGCTTCTTGTAATAGGTGGGCGAACGGGAACTGTATCCTTGAATGTGACTCTAAATGTAACTTATCGCTGGATCTTCTTTGCTGTCCGTGCGAATCGACCGTCTCCCGCTTGGAGGTATTTTCGCATGAGCATCTTGACTTCTCAGACGCGATTTCATAACATAATCAGCACTTCAAATAAAATGCATAAGGCTTGTCATCACTATGCTCTGCCATGATTCGCGACTCATGCCTTCAAAAGAGAAGCTTGCTAGCCATTCTGTCATATGATAATCCATTTGTGTGATTGAACGATCGGGGACATACTTGTACTCAGTGTAGAACAGCTGAAGTTTTCTTTTGACATGGAAAGTTCGAATGAAAGTTCTCATATATTCGAATACTCGAATGACTGTTTTTCAAGTTGGCTCGAATATTCGGATATTCGAATAACTGTCTTTTAAAATTCCTCCAATAAACGAATATCTGAATAACTCATTCCAAATCATCGAATGAACGAATTATTCGAATACAGGCCTTTTTCATTTATACGATTACTCGAATAATCGAATAATTGGACTTCTCGAATATTCCAATGTCGAATATTTGAGAAGTCCAATTATTCGAATTATTAAATTATTTGAACACGAATATTCGGTTCTAACTGTACTGCTGAGTATCAAGCCTCGCTTCGTCTGCATTTTACCGCAAAACTTGGTAATGCATCTTTTTGCAACCGCGATGATCTTTGAACTGTATGGAAAGTCGCATTCCTTCGACTGCTCGCGACAGTAAAGATATTGATATGGATTTCAATTGATGCTTTCGACCAATGAAATAGTTCGCACTACTATTGGCACCAAATCAGCAAAAAAGAACAGCTATCAAATTCAAGCTCAAGTTCCGAGTTCATATACTAGGAATGTGTTGACATGCCTGTTTCTCTTTTTTCTTTGCATTGCTCATGCTTTAGGTACGCAAAGGTCCACATAATGAGCTCTCTTGCTTAGATAATTCGTGCTGCATAAACTGCCTTTATTCTTTACCTTAGAGAATTTTCGCGAATTGGTGTATTTTGAGTAGGAGATCGCAGCTGTAGTGGAGGATTAGACGGTTGCTGAATTTTGCAGTCATACCAGCTTGCAATAAAGTTTTGTTCAGTAGATAGTACATGATAATTCTGCCTTCACAGTGCATCCAAGATTCTCGCGGAGGCTTGCAGGCAATTCAACACCGGAAGCTATCAGCCTATCAAACTAAAGGCTAAAGTCGGACGTCCAAATTCCAGTCCAAATTGAGAAATGCGAGCTTTGATCATGACAGGCCCCGCACATACTTCACGCGACAGTCGTACGCGATTTGCCAGTCAATGCTAGCTACGGGGTGGGAATTGGTACAGGGGGGGGGGGAGTAAGGAAGGATGCTGATTGTGAATAAAATTTTATTTTGTCGATTTTATCAATTATTGAAAATTTTGAGCCACGAGGCTGAGAGTTGGTACAGGGGTAAATAAGGGTGCTGATTATGATTACTTTGTTGCCTTTATCGATTTTTGAAAATCTTGAGCTACGAGGCTGAGAGTCAGTACAGGGGTAAATGAGGATGCTGACTGAAAAGCAGATCTATTTTATCGATTTCATTGAGTTTTTGGGAAGATCTAAGGGTACTAATTATGAATGGATCGGCTGAATATGATTATGAGGGTGCTGATTACGAATGGATCGGCTTTAGCCGAATATGTCAGCAAGTTTTTGATCTGGTTGCTTTATTTATTCGATAAATCATTCGAATATCTATTCGAAATTCGACTCCCAATGTTCGAATATAACCGATAGTCATTCATTCGATATTTCTGATTTTCCGATTTTATTCGGGATTCATTCATTCGAGAGTTTTTAAATCTCGAATTTATTCGATATTCGTTTATTCCAAAATTTTCATTTTCGAATTTATTCGATATTCACTCATTTGATGAAAAATTTCGAATTTACCCAAGTATAGCACCTACCGTAACCCTTCAGAAGATGGCGCCACTGTATGAAAAACATTGTAAAACAACTCCTGATTTTCTGCATTAGCAAATCGGATAAAGCCCCACCTGGGCCAAGTTCCAGGCAGACTAAAACGGGTATGGATCAGGAGCCACGATTGCGCGAATATTCCACTGTGCGGCGTGAAGTATAGGCCGCGCAAAATCCAGCTGCCCGCGCCTCGCTCCGAACAGCAAAACGCGGAGCTGCTGGAGACGGGTCCTGGCGCGATATAGTCTAATCACAAGTCAGAATCAGCGCGCACCTCTAACGCATTCTTATAAAATTTTAAAGGCAGTTTTGACTAGAATATACTGTACAAAGCCTAAAAACAACATGGGTGTCCGGAAAATTCATGAATAAAGCCTTTAGTGGTTCGTGACAACCGCTCGCCCATGTTGGTGGTCAAGGCAGGGCACGGGCAATCAGATTTATGAGGCCTACAGTTGAGGATATTGAGATAACCGTGTTGTTGTTGTTTGGGAAAGGGGAACGAGCGACGCCAATTTGAGCATCCTTTCGCGGCCAAATGGTCCTTTTCAACGTTGCTGCATGTCGTTCCAGGACCGGTGGTCCGCGGAGGCTGCGCAAGCGTTCGTCCCTACCCGTTGTCGTGTCCGGATTGACAGATATCGCGCCCTATTCGAAACTCAGCAATATTGCAATAGTGCCCTGGAGCCGTTATCGGATATCCCCACTTCTTAGGTATGGTGCATCCACCAGAATTGCTCCCATATGAACGATCAACGTGGCTGTCTTTCGACCATTTCAACATGTCAACCTCGAATATGCGCCTCTGTCGTAGCCGACGTTACTGTAATTGTTATTCGATGACCATGTACTGATGTTCTGTACGATTCCGCGAACCCATTTCGCAAAACAGTGTTTTTGTCTTATTTGTGATTGCATTCAACAAAGGAAGCTGCCAGCTGGCAGCCTTCCGAACCCTTACAATTTTGGCTCCTCCCTTTTGAAGAGTCAATTGTGACTGATTTGTAAGCCGGAGAACTCGTTATTTTCTTAGTGTTTGTTACAGTTTGCCGGAAAACCCGGCTCAGGAACAATTAATTAACTGTGTTTGACAGAAGCACGGTAAACCAAAAATCCACTGAACCCCAGCACATTTTCTGGTGCATCGGCCGGGAAGAACCCCAGCCAAAAAGCAAGTAAAATCTTGCTAAATAAAAAACAAGTCAAATCTTGTTAAACCTTAATCAAGATGGAGTCGGTTTTGCTGGAAAACCCTCTCAATATCAGCGCCAAGACACTGAAGACCTTGTCGAATAATGTCAAAGAGTTCCGAAAGCTAGTAGATTCCGCAGAAGGTCAGCTGACCTACGAAGAAGCAGCCATTAGCGCTCCGGCTTGCGATCCAACCACAACTCAACAGGCCTATAATAGAGATATAGCAAGCCATATTAATCCAAAATCGCTCCTTGCAAGTATAATACTGCAAGATAAAAATGAGAAAAACACATTGTCTATTACGAAAGTATACACTAATGACTTGATCATGCGGCAGATCATTAGTTCTGTAACAAACGTTAATGACCTTATGACTGTAGAGCTAAGCTCACCAAGACTTCGAATGTTGAGTAGGACATCACCATGGTGGTTTGATCAGAGAGCCGTACTTTATCCTTAAAGGCAGCGTCCAGGCAGATCTGGGCCTATGGGGCTTTTACGTGGAAAGTACTTTTGGGGCCATAACTAAGGCACTGCCCAAGCGTCAGCTTAGGTAGTGCTCTAATGGCTAAGATATTCCCCTCGAAACTGGCCCCCGCGAACGTATTCGCATGGATTCATGGCAGTTTCGCGCCAAGATCCACGCTTTGTGCCATGAATACATGCGAAACACGGTCGCGGGGTCCAGTTTCGAGGGGACTATCTCAGGCGTTAGGGCACTACCTGAGCTGCCGGTTGGGCAGTGGCTTAGTTAGGGCCCCAAAAGTACTTTCCACGTAAAATCCCCATAGGTCCAGACTTGCCCGGACGCTGCCTTTAACCTACCAGACATGGAGTGATTATATCGGTTGAAATTGGTGATCTATACTTTACACTGCCTTCTACTACTATGGAAAATAGAATGGGCTGCAGACCTAGTAGAACCCAACCTGCGAAATTGATGAGCACTCTGCATTGCAGAAAGATTCGCTCTGGTAATACAGACAATCAAGTTAGGTGGTGCTGATGTGGACAGCCAGAGAAGGGGAGTTCAGAATCATCAGCTCATAATGACGTACGATTTACTATCAGGTTGTTACATAAGTCTTGTTACACTTTAACTTCTTACGACATAAGTCATGACCTCATATTCTTTACAGGGCTACAGGGTATCGATAGAGCAAAGCAAGCCCTACAAGGTAGTGTGCAAAAGTTAGCATCAGCTCTGACCCACCGTATGTTTGCATGCAAAATCTGAGTCGTACTGAAGGCTCAAAAAATCGCGAAAAATTCATATCTCTGTTCAAAAAAATCCTACGAATCTCCGACTTGCTCATAAAAATCGCACACTATATCAGACACTCATATGTACCGTTGCTGTATTTTTTCCTCATCTAGAAATTGAGAAAACGAAAAATTTCTTGTTTTCACAAGAACGAAGCTATGCTGTTTCTATTCATGTAGCTGTATACCACAAGCCCTTAGAAGTATAAATGTAAATTTTCAGCTTTCCAAAAGCCCTAGTTTTCGAAAAATAGCGAATTTAGCTTTTCTCACTCGAATGTTCGATGCTTAATTAGGTATTTTTCGAAAACTAGGGCTTCTGGAAAGCTGAAAATTTACATTTATACTTCTAAGGGCTTGAAGTATACAGCTACATGAATAGAAACAAAATTCGAGAATCTTCGCACAATTTCATTTACAAATTGTGACTTCGACAGGGACGCTATGGCATTCCTAAGCTCTGGCGCATGCTCGTTATATAAACGATTTAGAAATCTCACTACTGAAGTATGATTCGACTCAGCTCTGTCACGTACTCGATGTGACAGAGCTGAGTCTATGGTTAAAGGTCTTATTATTTACGGGAAAGGATACAGTTCAACGCCATCGTTTACCACCGTCGCCACATGTGTAAACTCGTCTGCATAATAATCGCGATCACTTCCAACTAGCTGTAATACCCTACTCGCCAACCACCGCCAATCCGTCGCACTCCCGAATCCACCGTCGCCTCATCTTCGTCTCGCCAACCTGGTAATTCCCTCATATGCTTTGTTCACTTTTCTTTTTTATTAATTTTCCCTCCATCCTTTTCTTGCTTTCCATACCCCCACTCATCCGTGTATCGTTTGTTCATATTTGATTTCCCATTTTTATCGTCCCTCTCTGCTACTATTAATACTCTCGATCAAATGTATAGGTACATGTTATCCGAGATTATGCTAACCCATCTGAACCATTATTCTTTTCTGCTACTGTGTAATAAAGAATTAATCCATCCGTTTTTCTTCCTTCTCACTTCACTGTTTGACAGAAGCACGGTAAAAACAAAAATCCTCACTGAACCGCAGCACAGCCTCAAATTTGCTGGAGTTAACGTGTTGAAACGATCGAAAGGCAGCCACGTTGATGGTCCACATGGGAACAACTCTGGGGATGCACGACATATGTAGTATCTCCTTTTCTGTCTTCTAGAATATTCGCGATCCATTATTTCTAATACAAAGCGCCAGCTGACAGGTCACGTGGCTGCGTTTTAGTGCGGCCCTGTGACCCTTCGTTGTTTCGTCATCATTGATGGTCGGTGTTATCGACGGTGACAACGAGTTTACATGTTCTCAAGTGCTGTGTAATGTTTCGAAAACCCTACTTCTCCTTTCTCACTTCGTACTTTATCGACTAGTTGGTTATCTCTTGTCTATCAAGCATTAGCAGACTTGCTATCTCTATATGTGTTCGTAGTAATGCAGTGGTCTGGATTGAACCCGTCAATGTCTGTTTCCATTCTTTTTCTTTCGAAAGCTGTGGCTCGCCTATATTGCATTGTGACTATAGTGCACATCTCCGAACTGTCGTATTTCCAGAAAAACATGGTCAGACGACGTTCCGCTTCACCAAGACCTTCGCCTCCAGTGCGTTCAGCAGCGAGACCTTCACCTCCTCCTGCTCAAACCTTGCCAGCCAGAACGGGTATGATTTTCGACTCTTACTTTGCCTTATGATTCTAACAAGGGAATGGTCAGAAGTCGAAGTGTCCAAACCAAACAAGCTGTATATCATTGGATGCAGTATAAAACACTGACTTGAATCTGTCTTCTTTATCTGCTTCCCGCTTCTGTGGGCGAAGCTACAAGCGGTTTTATTGTGAAAAAATCATACATAAAAACAGCGAAATTGAGCACATTGTTGCACTTTTAGCTCAGCTTCTGGCTTCAAAAATTTTAAGTAAGCTAGCTGCATGTTTGGGCCCAGTATTGAGGCGAAGGTGGCTCTGTACAGCTATATTTTCAATTTCACGCATAATTTCTAGGCAAAATAATGGTCTTTAATGGCTTATAGCTTCGTCCAGAAAAGCGATAAGCAGGTAAGGAAGACAGGTTTAGAGTGAGCGCTTCATGCTGCATCTAACGGTACCCAGCTTGTCTGGAATGGCCACTTCGATTTCTGACCATTCCTTTGTAAGCAAATTAATTTTTAGCTGCCCCAATGGGAGCCGCACCGATGGGAGCTGCACCCATGGGAGGACCCACGGCAAATCCGATACCGGGTGCTCGTCAACCTGGTCTGATGGCGCAAATGGCCGCAACAGCCGGAGGTGTTGCTATTGGGAGTGCTGTGGTAAGTGGCTGCTGCTAGGCATTGGCATATTCATTTTCAAGTGTTTGATCTGGTGCCAAGAGCTTGGTTTGCTAAGTGCGAGGTCAGGCAGAATTTTTATCGCTTAAACGTTAAAGCAGTAGAGCAAGTAATGTTTGGCGCTGTTTTGCGCCAGTCATTGAATACTCAAGTCATCACATCAAGAGCAACACAGCGTTTTGAAATTTTTTTCTTCGCCCCTTCGAACGCTATCGACGCCATTGTCTTAGCCGACGTGTCAAAAGGTTTTACTTGCTTAATTTTGACTTACCATTCTATGTCACCTCAGTAAGCGGGTTTCAACCAGAGATTGTGAAAGCGCTGAGTAGTTTCTGTGAGCGAAATTTAGCGTAAATTGATCGCGTGAAGTAGGATTGTGCCCAAACAAAGACGACTTTTCTATTACCCTGATCGAAAAATAGTTTTTATCCTTTTTACGTTAGAAATGCTTTGAAATCCTTCTCCAACTCAACTATTAAGAATGTTTCTAGGGGCATACTGTTGGCAACATGTTGACTGGAGGTGGTGGACGCTCGGAAGTTGCCGAAGCTCCAGCTGCAGCTCCGGCCGGTGCCCCACAAGGACAAGCTTACGCTAACCCATGTGAATTCGAGTGGAAACAATTTATTGAATGGTAGGCTTGCTTAACATATCAAACTATATTTTTTTAATCGGTTTAAAATCTTTGACTTTGTCGTGAAACGGTTTTCTTTCAGCACTCAAAATCAATCTGATGTGTCACTTTGTCAAGGATTCAACGAAGCATTCAAGCAGTGCAAAGCACATTATGTACAACAACAGATGTAGAGTTCTTTCCTATGGCTTTTCCATTTGTTCAAAACTTCATTTTCTCATCCAACAATTTCCTTCTCTCTCATTTTTATTGATGGAAATATATTAGTTCGCTGTAACCGCATTCTAGGCCAGAATTGTTCCATTATATTTGTTGGTATAGATAAAGAGTTGTAGGAAGTTTGTGGATAATATTGTCTCACGAGATAAAGCGGATCGATAAATGGTGGGCAATAGACAACATTTCGGTGGGTAAACAAGGGATCATTGTTTATACAGTTGCATCAGTTTTCCTTGACATTTCATGCAAAGAACGAGTATTCAAACCCGTGTGTAAGCAAAGTTCCTGGTCAAAGCAGCTGCTTTGGAGTTTGTTTTTTAAATTTTCGGAAAATGTTTGGTTTCCTTTATACTATTCGATTTTTTACACTCAGTCTGTTATCAGTCACTGAAGTACTTATAGTGGATCCCATTATGAAACACTATCTTAAAGAACCTACACTTGCGAAACAAACCAATGTTTGTAATTTAGGCTTCTCACAATAAGTTCCGCAACGGTTTAGACGATTTTTCCGCTCACGAACGGAAAGGCCAACAGCTCGACCTTCTTTCTAGCCATCGATTGGTCCGTCCGTTGATCGCACTCGTTTCGACAGTTGCCTAGTGCAGCTGCTCTTTGATCTCAGTGGTTTTTGTAATGCATTCGGTAATTTTGTGTATCGTTCGTTGCTTGCAAAGTATTTCATTACTAATTTCAAACCTTTAAAATTACAAATAATCATGCCTGTAGGAGCCCAGGTATCAATTAAATACGATTTTCTTTTTTCAGATTATGCTCAGCGTTACGGACTCTTTTAAAATGAAGTGCTACATTACCAGAAAAAATCGGATTACTTTGGCGCAGTTTGGTTAAAGCTCTATTAGAAAGATAAATCATCAGATTTTTAGCTGCTCTCAAGCAAATTTAGTGCTGACGAATTTTTGTCATACAACCCTATTGAGAAACACTCAAGTAGTAATTTTTCCATCTTTGATCGTTACAAGATGTAAGACGAATATAAGTTGAAACTAGTATTGATTTCTTGTGAACTGCATCACCTGATTAAGAAAAATTCTTGCAGACCTACGTCCCTAAAGTTATGATTTTTGAGCTTTTTGTTCGACCCTTCGACCTTTTTTTTGTGAAGAATCAAACCCTCTAATACACAATAGGCGGAATTTATTACAGAATAAAACTAGGAAAGTTGAATTGTTTCTCCAATCGTAATAAACGGCAATGCTAGCTACAGCGATCATCCAAATTGCAGTTTTCAGCCGAGTTGAGAAAAACTTGATATCAGTGATGAAAGGGCCGATAAATCAGAATCCATGTATCTTTGTTTTAAATTTGTGATTCTATGCTTGTCATTTTTAGTTCAATTAATTGGTAAAAAATGTCATCCTTCGCTTTCGTGGGTTTAACATTAAGGCGACATAACCAGCATTTGAGAAATATCTGCACTTTGGCTTAGCTCAAACTCGATCTGTGCCATCTTTTAATATTTTTAGCTGATTTTTTTCTAGTATCCAATTCCGATTTCTGAGCCGTTTCATATAGTGAAGTGCGCGTAGTGTTTGCGTTCCTATTTCTATATTTAAGGAAACGAGAAGAAGGTTACAAGGCTTTAGGAAAGGTAGTACAAAATCACCAGTACAACAGTTATCTTCTTTCAAATATCTTTCTTCACAATAGTGCACTTCACTCAAACATCCCAGACGCTTGCTTTCCTCGTTTAAAATTATCTTCTTATTAAGGAAAATATCAAATCATTTGGTTGATTTTCTTACCTTTTTTGACTGTTACCAAGAAACCATCCAAAATTTGTAACTCGTGATTCTCACAGTGCTACCAGGGCTCGGCGCAGGTGGCTTATAAGCAAACTGGTTACCGTTTTTTGGAATAAAAAACGAAGGGGATATCGTTTTTGTAGCTGAAAATGCACGATTGCGACTTTTTTAGTCTACTTTTCCTTTTTTTATTTTTTCACTTTTAGGGGCAGGATCAAAGGGATTTCGTAAAATTTAGCGAAAGTTAAAGGAAACTTTTTGTGCATTTTCCGAAAACCACCTCGAGCCAAGCCCTGATTGCTACTTCCAAACATATTTGGTTTCCTTTTCGAAAGCTTGAACAAAACAGCTATCAAACGGGGCAAAGTTCACATTCATGAGTGTTTTAGGCTACTTAGATCGAATTCGTTTTGAGTATATGAATAATATTCAACGAATATAGTTTAAATTTTGAATTTTTTTGTGAAACCTATTCATCACTTAAAACCTTACATAAGCGTTTCCATGCTCTATCCGCGCTTTTCGAATCGTTTTTGAGTTGCTAACTGCATCAGGATTATTACCGAAGAAGAATTTTCAATTTTTTGGAAAAAAATTAAGGTAAGGGTGTTGAAAGCAGGTTAACGTTGAAACAACTACATCAAATTCGGACTAATGGCATCTGTTAGAGAGATCTTACGCGCTGTTGAAGAAAGCGAAATTATTTTCAGTTCTTCTACAAGCTTGCCTCAAAAGAATCTCTTTCGGAAAATTTTTTGATTTTTTTTCGTGACGTGAGGCAAGCGAAAAACTATTGTGTGTTTAGCATAGGTGTGATATTTTTTTCCACCGTTACGAATTTCTTTGTGTTGCCTCTTCGATTTTTACTTTTTTTGAAAACGTTATTGTCAAAGACTGGCACCCCCATTTTACTGCCCTGAATTGGAGGGCTTCTCAAGCCTACTACGAGTGTATTGACGTATTAGTGGTTACTTTGCTTTTCAATTTTTTTAATTGGTGGAAAAATACAAGGTTTTTATCCGACGATTATTGAAATAGTTTCGATAATAAAATCCTATAATGCCACGTTGGAATTGTGCTACTTACGGCTTTATTGGACTATTGCACAAGCGGATCAACAAAACAAAAAGAAAGAAGAAAATTGCGTTTTTGACGACCTAAAGTCGTGGAAGCTGGTTGCGTTTGTCCTTCACAATTGCACTGCCCTCATTTCTCTACCAAAATTTTTTTTTGCACACACAAAGAGCTGAAATGCTATCATTAATTTTGAGCAAAGACCCTGAGAAGGAGCTTTTTTTAGTTCACAGCACTTTTTCTCTTGGTAAATGTTCATTGTTCCAATTATTGTCGCTAAAAATAGTCGCGATATGGACAGGGGAGCCAAAGCAGTCATTGAACTTTGCAATCGACTTACGAGTCACGTGGGGTCACACTTGCTAATATCTGACAATGGGAACAATTCAGCACTTTCATACCTTCTTCCGCTTCCTTTCAATGCCAATGCACTTGAGATAAAAGTCTGTTTCATTGTTTGTTTTAACCATTGCAATTGACTGTGATTTCCTTAAAAGCGAACTGCTCTTATCAACACTTACTTACTACCGTAAAATAGCATCTTTTGCAACAAAATTAGCTAGCCCTATTTCCAATTTTAGAAATCTGAAGAATCGCCAAAGGGCGCAATTTGCTGAGGTAAAGAATACAAGAGCTATCATTTCGTGACCTTCTCCTTTCTCCAAAATTCAATAATATCTCAATAAAATTTCCAATACATGAGCTGAGATAATTGCTCTTAGTCTTGATAACGTAACAGGCAATCCAGGAAGCCCAATTTACGAGAAAGAAGTTTTTTGGGTTGATAAAGTAAATTTTGAATCGAAGTAAATTAGTAGTAAATTTTGGATAGCAAATCTAGGTGTTGAAGTTTTTCTAGTCTCTTCTCCTCCCGAATTCCTACGCATTAATCTTGGAAAATGATCTTATTCTTCACTGCCAAATCGAAAAAGCGAATACGCTAGCGATATTTTCATCAAAAAAAGCATGTCATTATAAACTTTTTTGGATTTTCTGTTCCAGGATGACCACCGTCGGATTCATCGGACTTGGCAACATGGGTGCACATATGGCCCGAAATCTCATGAAGAACGGGCATAAATTAGTTGTGTACGATATTAACAAGAAAGTTGTAGATTCTTTCAAGGTTTGTTATTAGGATCACGCAAATTTTCGTTAAAAATTACCCTTTCAGGCAGATGGTGCTGAAGCAGCGGCATGTCCAGCTGAAGTAGCAGCAGCTAGTAGCGATATCATCACTATGTTACCAAGTAGTCCACATGTCCGAAAAGCTTATGGCGGAGATGACGGATTGTTAAAGTGAGGTTTGGACCAACAGCGTCACATATTCTACCCCCAAAAGTGAAAAATCGAAAAAAAATTCTAGGCAAATGCAACCCGGCACTCTATGCATTGATTCATCTACCATTGACCAAACAGCCTCATTAGAAGTAGCTGAGTGGTGTAAAACTAAGCAAAGTACTTATTTAGATGCGCCGGTATCTGGTGGAGTCACAGGTTGCGTTTTTCTTGCTCATTGAAATAGTTTTTAAAACGATTAAATGGGTTGCAGGTGCTCAAAACGCAACATTGACTTTCATGGTAGGTAGCGGAAAGTGTCAAAAGACTTTTGATCGTGCAGCTCGTTTGATCAAGTGTATGGGCAAGAATATGGTAAGTATAAAAACCTTATGATTAGCTTTCGATTCGTTATGCTGTGGTTGCATGATCAAAGAGAAAAAATGCCAGAATGAGTTTTGCGTTGAGAGGGAGAATGAGAAGATATAATCTTTTGTAGAAACAGTAAGACGTTGAAGGTGATACCAATGTTGAAGGGTTTTTCAAGAATGCGCTTTTTTTATCTAAGGCATTTCAGGGAAAACATTGTGAAAAGTTGTAGACCTTATGAACATCTACATTTTGTAGGAAATGGAATCACATAAGTCCGCAAAAAAAATCATCATAACTTTCTGAAAGATTTTCGCCATTTTTAAGTTACGTGGTGGGCTGTACTGATATGCACTTGTCATGCTTAAAACTGTGAATTTTTTTGAAATTTTTGTACTTTTGGCCATTATTGAATGATATAACCTCCGATGCCGTTGTATTAGCACTGTGCTCGAGCAAAATTTAAAAAAAAAGATGAAAGAATTTACAACGGATAAGCGAACTGAGGTGCGTTTACAGAATCGCACTTTTGCTTTAGTTTATGTCCCGCGAAGGTGAAAATTATCCTCAAGCAATTAGTCCCTTTCTCATTTTTCTCATGTAGAAGACTTTTTAAGAAGATGAAAAATTTTTAGCAAGATTTATGCTCAAATCTAATTTTATATTTTACTCATGACCTCTATTTCATATCACTCTACATTTCTCTCAACCATAATAGATCCTTATCTAGCGTTTTAGGTAAACTGTGGTGAAGTAGGCGCTGGACAGGCAGCAAAAATTTGCAACAATATGCTTCTAGCTATAGAAATGGCAGGCGTAGCTGAAACGATGAATTTAGGCATCAAGTAGGTTATTCATCTAGCCATCCTTTTAGATTTTCCGCTAACACTTTACCTGCAAAGCAAATTGTCTCTTTCAGAATGGGACTGGACCCGAAAGTGCTCGCCGGCATCATTAACACTTCCTCGGGACGATGTTGGTCTTCTGACACTTACAACCCCGTTCCAGGCGTCATTGAGGGAATTCCTCCCAGTAATGGCTACCAAGGAGGATTTGGTAGCGCTCTCATGGCCAAGGTTGGTCATTCTCATAGCGGCTTGATCTTTGATTTTGTGTTTATTATTATGCAGCTGCGGTTAATTTAGGACCTCTCGCTAGCGCAGAACGCAGCGACAACAACTCAGTCTCCGACACCGCTCGGTTCGTTGGCACATCAAATTTATCGACTACTCGCTCAGGATCCGAAATATTCTGCTAAAGACTTTGGAATCGTTTATCAATTTATCAAGTCTCAAAATTAGGAGATTATTCCACTGAAATTCAATTTTTCTACCTCGAAGTGCAGAATCTTGGTGCCATTCTTTCATCCTTCCGTTAAAGCTCACTAATTTTTGGTTGTACCTCATTATTAAGCTCAATTTGATTGCCGAATTTTGAATGAATGTATATCGAAGACGGTAAAGTGTTTTGTACGCAGTTTTATTACAAAAACTTGTTGTTGTTGTCGAATCCGCGGCCCCGGGGAGGTTCTCTTCAATATGTAAACAACCATGCCATCAATGCGTGGTCTCGTCGGCCTCTCCACTCCAGCCCTCATCGATTCATGCTATTTGCAGTTTCTTACAACATCCCGTACTGTTTAATTACACAATTATGTCTCGTGATATGTGGTTACTGTGTTGGAGAGGAGAGACAGTAGAGTCCCACATCGTAAACGTTTGGTTTTCTGCGAGTTTTCAGAATCCTTTATTAAAAGAATTTTGATTAGCAACTGCTTTCGGCCGGCTGTTTACAAGCGTAGTAGTTCTCAATGTGTTGTCAGTTCTAGAAACATCCTAAGAGACTGTCATTCACCATCTACACTCTCCTCTCCTCTACAGACCGCAAAATGTTAAATCAATTGAATTGCTTCCATTTTCATGCCATGGTTTTTTGCCCCTCCCAACATAATATGCTCTTCAAGATATCTCATTGAGGAGGGACTTCATCAAATTAGATGTTTGCAGATGCTGAAACTATGTTATTTCAGCAATCTAAATAAACTGTATGTAAAGCAATGCAAACTAGATCTACCAAAATTTGTTGGAATAGTTCCTAAGACATGTACTAAAATTACTGAGATTAGTAGCATAGTTTGCGAGGATGTCAACTTGGAAACCACTATACGGTAAGATAGGTCCTGTAGCCTCATAATTTTATTATTAAACCTTTTGGCCTCAGAATCTTCTTACATATTCCTATAGATACTTCTGTATGGATCACGATTCCGAAAAAAAGCTTTTGTTTCCAGAAAACTGTCACGGCGAAAATTTTATCACAACTTCGAATGAATTTCTGTGGAAGTCACAAGACTCATTACCCTAAAATCTTACATGTTGCTGAAGAAGAAATCCAAGTTTTCGGTAAAGCAGCCTTATCTGTAAGATTTCAGCATTCGTAATGCAAAATAAGTTTTGCATAATATTCGTATAGGGTGTATATATTACCTACAAGGCCTACCTTATTGCCCGTATAGTACTTTGTTAGACCACTTCTGAAAATATAGCGATTCATTTTGAGCTTTGAAAGTGTTATAGAATATAAACGATGCCGTTTATTGTTTGAACAAATTGGTCATACACATGTGCAATTTTATGAAGATAGAATTGTACTACCCAATTCCAAGTATTTTGCTTGTGGAAACATTAAATGTATGCAGAAACTGTTTACTTTCGTTTCACCCCTGTCAGCTCCATACTTACTTAGAGAATGTTTGCATCCTTTTTGTTGTCTTCTTCGAATGATCTTTGAAATTTTTGACGTCACATACATACGATCTTTGATGCCCGCTACGCTATCCCAAGCCAAAACATTGACATTCGCATAATTCTATCGACAGTTTCCGTCTTGGTGAATCGATCGAAATCGGTTTTCAAAAAACATTGGTAATGATAATTCTGCTATGTATTGTATTACTAGCCCTCTGGAACAGACTATATAATGCTGGCTTTTATTCTCTTTTTTTTGATAAGGTTGGAAAGAAAAGAATGCCGTTTTTTATAGCAAAGGGATCCGAAAAATCTGTGAGGATACCGATCGTTAGAGCAAAAAGGGCTTTACAAAATGATCTTTGAACATAGGCAAAAATCATAAATCCAAAGTTTGGAGCCCAAACATAAGAACAACTCATGATGCCAAGAATCGGCGCTCCAAAACAAAATTACGACCCTTCCATTTTGCTCGTGCATGTAACAGACACATGTAATCATCCATAGGTACGCTTGCTGTATTTTTCATGCTTAAAAATGAAGAAAAGTTGGAAAACAGAAATTGGCAAACTCCGCCTACAATGATCCTGGGCTCTTCCCATATATGCCCTTTATATTAGGTTGATTCATAATTAATGCACGTTTTTGTCACCTCTTTTTCCAAGCACTGGTTTTTCAAAGAAACTGAATCTTTCTCAAAAATTTCAACGCTATCTGAAAGAGCGTTTCTTCTAGTTTCTGGTTTATCCTTTCTTTTTCGTGACACTCTGTATGATACCGAATTCCACGCTTCCGAATATGAGAGACTAAAATTTGAAAATTTTTCCTTTCATTCTTTTTGCCCTAATTCCATGAGAACAAAAGATTTTAATTTCAAAAAATATGCCTAACAATCGCGAAGCTTTCTGCTATAAAAATCTCTATGAAGCAAAATTTTGCAAAAGTTCTGAGATGAGAGATTCAATTACAAACTTGGCCGGTCATTGTGGCCTTTCGAAGTCGTATAAAACTTTGAAACAAGAACCAATAACTGCGATTTTGCTTTGTACACAAAGAATAGACATAGCACATTGAGTGATAAAAAAACGGTGAAATTTTACAGCTTTTCAATGGCAAAATTTTTGAAAATTCTCAAAAAAGACAATTTTTCGCTCTTCTGAAGAAGCTAGAAAAAATGATCACTTTTGAACTTTTTGCAGTATCTCGTCGTAGAAAAATACCGTAAAATCCGGGTTTTTTACCACTGCTCTCTTGACTATTGGCTGCACAATGAACAAAGTTTGCGCTTTCCTCCTACCTTTAAGAGTAAGTTATGCTTCCTCAAAATAGAGGTTTAAAAAAAAATTCTTGGCATTTTTCGGATTGTACAAACTTTCTCGTCACATTTATCTATGAACGAAAGTATGTGTTGTAAAGCCAAAGATTTGCACTTTGCAACAGTTCTTATTGCTCTTTGAAAGATGTTGTGGGAAAAGAATTACGGCGCTTTGAAGATGAATTTCGAAAACGTGCATTAATTATGAATCAACCTAATACATTAAACCTTCAGAGCATTAATTGTAAAATATTGGTCTTGGATATGACTTTCACGAGAAATACCAAATTTAGCGGGAGTAACTGAAAAAAGCCACATTTCTTTCCGGCCTAATGTTGTATGAAATTTCCTGCCGCGTTTATCGTGATTTTCTTGTTTTATTTGCTTTATGTCATCTTCTACTTTTAGTTTAGATAATGCCTTCAAAAGCGATCCATCATTCGTTGAAAATCGGTAATCGACGAGCAAATTATGACTTTTTCACAAAAACTCTGCAGATGAAGGTAGCCATAACCATTTTCCTCGAAATATAATATATTAAAAACAGTCTGGCACAAAAACGATTTTTAGGTGCTGCGACATGAAGAAATAGACTCAGGCTGCAAAATTGAATGTAATGGGTAAGTGGTATCAATCTGTTGGTCATTCACCTACTATATACTTGTAGACCTTACGATAACCCATGGAGCAAAACTATAGTGGGATATGGATCTGAAGCTGATCAGTTCGTGCTAGAGTTGACTTATAACTATGATGTCGATTCCTACACAGTTCGCGATGAGCTCGAAGTCAGTCTAATTCTGTTTCAGCGAAGACACGCAATAAAATTTACCTTTTAGGGAATTTATATCCAGTCTGATGAACTGATGAAATCTTTGGAAGGTAAAGCAGGAGCAACAAAGTTACCCAATGGAGGTATACAGGTAAGAGCCGGAGCGATACTGTCTGTGCACAACATGCATATTATGGTACCAATGGCTTACTCAGGATTTCCGTTCCGGAGGGAGGGGGGGGGGGGAATATTTTCTGTTGAGGGTGCGTGGCTTTAACCACGCTTTCCAAAAAGTTTTGGTAATAGAGTTAAATTACATGTGCAAAAAATGTTCATATTAGTTAATCATTCACAACTGTGAAAAGTCACTTGCACATTTTCATAGCTCATGTAAATAACTTTCAACATTTTCGCGATTCACTCTAGGGGGAGTGGGAGCACCGCCCCCCACTGGTACCAATTTTTCTGAAAAAAAATATCATATGCCAAAAATACAATGCTTTCATTTTATGTGTTCTTGCACTATACCTTTTCCAAATACATAAATTTCTCCAGAATAGGCATCCTCCTGTAATACTGAAGATAGATCGGTCAAAAAAGCCTGAGAAAAATTTCTTCTGAGCACTGAAACAATATAAAATTATGAGATCTTCAGTTTTTTCTTTTTTTTTTGAATTTTTAATTTTTGGTCATAGTTGCTACTATGTTACAAAACTCAGTGTTTATTCGACGTTTTGAGGGTTTTATCTTCAGATAAGGAGCCCCGATGGTTACCCATTCTACATATGCCCCGGACAAGGACCTAAAATTGTAAAAATTGGCACAAGGGTGAAGCAATTGGATGTAAGCATAGGTACGCGCTTATTTCAAGATCAAGAATAATTCCTGATTCCGGGCAGCATTCCGGGCAGCATTCTAGGAAATTTTGAAGTTTTTAAAATTTATGGTGTGCTATGCAAGGCCATCTGATCGAGCTTAAATGCAAGGCGAAGCAATAAGTGTGTAGCCAACGAACTTTTTCAAAATTTGAGTGAAGCCCGCCCACTTGGATAGCTCCGCCCACTTTACATTATAGGCGATAATTTTTTTAGAAAAGACAAAAAGACGTTCAACTTTGACCAGAGTGCTCTAAATTCAATTATTTTGCCAAGAAAACCCTTTCTATTAAGTGTTTTTCAGAGCAAACTAGAAATCTGTATGGTTGGCGACAAAGGTTTCAAGGAAATGGCCCAAGTTGATCCAAAGGCAGATCAGTCATGTCGTGAAGCAATGGACAAGGACACCAAGGAGCGGGATAAGGCCACTAAGAAAAACGAGTAGAATGTGAAAAGCATGAACACTGTACATTTCTGTAAATTTCTTTTTCTTTTATCTACTTTGTGATCTTATACATGGCGCATCTGCATCTACCTCAATTTCACTGTATTTGATAAGATTTTCATACTTTTTTCACTAAACTGTTGAGTTTACTGTCAGTGGGTCAATTTTATACAGCTAAACATTCAAATATTTATACTTAAGATTGGATGGAAGTAAAATTGACAAGTTTTGTGGAGCCTCAAGATTACATTAAAGCCCTTTGTAAGCAGTGCATCATGAAATGTTCTCAGAGCCGACACGAGTTGGTTTTCTGGGAACGAAGTCCCCCTGACTTGCGAAAATTTTACGAAGCCTCCTTTGACCCTTATTCAAAATCTATCGCCTGAAGATAAAAACGTGAAATAGAAGTAAAAATCCGAAGTGGAGTGGAATACCATGCCAAAGAGTTTGGCACTGGAGCGCGATATCTAACAAAGCGATTTCTGTAGAAATTAGGGCGAAAAAAAGGAAAGGCAACGATATGAATATGTTTTCGTGCTCGGGAACGGATTCTTGACCGGAAATCCATCCAAAAAAATGCTCCATACGATCTCAGAAAGATAGCGTATGTTAGCCATCTGGAAACGGACTAAGTTTAGCAAAGGTACTACTTCACATAAGTTTTCTGAACTTCTACATAATTGTTCCGTAAATGATATTCTATGCCTACAATCCAAGCTTGGCATAGGCTGTCTTATGCTTGTTTCTACGCCAAAACGATTGTCCATTGGCTTTTTGTCCCAAAAACGAAGTTTAGCCTGCTTCCATTCAATCTGTACAAGCTCTGGATCGGGGCCTGGCACCAGCTGGCACGGGGCAAGCTGGATATCGTTTTTGGGGCAAAAAGCAAAGGGGTTTCGTTTTTGTGGGCGAAGATATACGCAAAATTGGCGACGGCGACTTTTTTTTAGTCGACGTTTCGTTTTTGGGGGATTTTTAGGATTTTAGAGGGGATATCGTTGAGGATCAAAGGGGACTTCGTAGAAATTCCCAAAAGTCAAGGGGGACTTCGTTTTGAAAATTCCCTGGTGCCAGCTCGTGCCGACCCCTGCTCTGGATATTTTCAATCCACTTACAGAGTTTGTTTCCAAATCGGAAAATTTGGAGTCAACCTTTAAGCCAATAAGTGCTAAATGATTCAATAATTTTTTACATGTGGAGAGAAAATTTACGACTACCAATTTATAATACACTCCCCTACTGCAAACATTAGAAGTTTTGAGACTCTTGCGCTACTCGAGGCCACTTCAACAATAATTTTTGGCAATAATAACAACAACTAAAAACGATAACACTATGTCAATATTTACATACTACCTTCCTTTTATTCCCGAAGGGAAGATCGCCGCCACGATTGGAGAACACTTCTTGTTCTCAATGACTAAGTGTTTCCATTCATTCCATTCGTTTCCATGACAAAATAATCAAAAGCTCTGAATCCAACTAGCTGCTGCTCGTGATATTGACAGCAGCTACTGCAGCTACACTACACGAACCTAAAGTGCAAGCATGCGGAATAATCAATGAAGACCTTGAAAATGTATCGATGGCGATAAGCAAGATATTTAGTGTTTTTCGGACACTTTATACAGCAACATTCTCATATTCCGCTTATCTGCCCACTTGTGCTTATTTTACACGCTCATTTCTTCATTAGTTCTCCAAATAAGCGTCATTCTGCGCCAACGCTATCATTTTCCCGCATTTCCAAATGAATGCAAATGCATAATTTATGAAAAACCTACTGACAATTATAGCACGCACTGAAAACAATCAAGCTCCAACGTTCTAGGAATTTCAATAATCTGTTTACACCGCAGCCAGAGTGGAACTCGTAAGAGGACGGTTTTATCTGCATGCATAATATTTCGCACAAAACCAGAGTATAGAATAGAATTTGTTTCATTTGTTTGATGTTGCAGCAGTATCTACCACTTCCTTTGATGTTTTTACGAGAATTTCACCTTCTATGAAGATCCAAACATCATGCTGGTTTAGAAAAATTGAGATAAATGTTTTCTGTCATTGAGCCTCATGTTCGGACCCCAAATCTGGTCATGTTGTGAATCTGAGAATGAATTTGACTTTTGCCATTTTTCCTGTCATTTGCAAGCATTAAAGGCGGAGTAAACATCATTCCTAAGTGGCAGACTTATTTTCATAGACTGACAACAATATGAAATCCGAATAAGTGTACCATATTGAGGAATGGCTAAACGGTGATAGGCATCATGCAATGAGATCTATCAGAATTAATTCATTGATTTAGAATTGATATAGATTAATGTATATGTGCCCTATTAGGGCAATCATTCCTGCTCATTGCTATCAGCTTCGTATACTTTGTGAACGTCTTTATGCCGTTTCTGACATACTCCGTCTGCAAGGTCTACCTGCTTGATTTTTATAGGGAATTACGAAGCCTTGATTTTACACTGTTTGATTTTTTCCAGGGGATTACGAAGCCTTTGGCACCTTTGGCACGACTCTTTTTTATTATAAAATGATTATTCAACAACTTTTTATAGACATAGCCAAAGCATGAGCAGCTGAAGAGCTCCTAAGAAATTACACGAGCCTCCTTGTAACAAGCAGAGAAGACGAAGTTCAAACATAACTAATCCCCGATCGTTCTATGGCTTTATCTGAAAGCATTGCGAAGGAACTTTTCGCAATGTCAAGCATGAGAAAGAATTTCTAAGGATTCTAAGAATTCAGAAACTACTTGCGGCTACCTAAGCCTTACGCCATTGAATTTGAAACCCATAGAAGAAAGTTCAATAAATAACTTTTTTTGCAAATGTTCCATCTTTGGAAATCCGAAAATTCTATATCAGCTGCTCGTGCGCTAGTAACTTTCTGTCTGACTGAGAATATCCAGACATTCCATCTTCAGGGGAACTTGTCTTTAAAGTAGACGTAAAAAAATTCACACTTTTTCGTCTTCAGTGACACCTCTCACTGTGCTACTGCTATGGATTATACGCTATAGTGGTACAGAGAGACTCAACCTAATAGTGGCTTCTATTTACAGTATCAAATTCAAAAATTACGCTCTCAAAAGTGAAACTCTTGAATCCGTTATGTTGCAACTTGATACTCTTTCACGCCCACATAGATCTCTAATGTAGAAAGCTAGTTTGCGCCCTAAGCCCCCTCCTTTTCTCACTTTGCAAAATTGTAGCTTTGAGCTCACTAGATGCAAAGAAATGCTTCGTTTGTATGCAGGTTACCATATACTGTGGAAAACGCCCAATCAGCTGCTTAAATAAAATTTGCTCGCCTTTTCCAAATTTTTGCTAGAATAATAACACAACTTGGATTTCAATTATTTTCATTCTGTTACACCAAACCTAAAAATTCACCTTTGCCATCGCTATCATGTAAACTGTAATCTCTGTTGGATGTTTGCCCGATCCATGATTTTTTATAAGTCAAAGTTAATTAATCGTGGGAATATCATCCAATAATATCATACAAAACCATATTCACTTCGAATATAGTGACTATGCCTAGGGGTGGATGTTGATTAGATTTGAATATTTGGAAACTTTATCTAGCTGCCCCACGTAAGAATTTTGATTTATCCCTTCAATACGATCTCCTCCACTATCTATATTTCACGCATGGTGAGATTATGTTAATCTGTTTCCTCTCACAAGCGTAAACCTCAGAAATATTTGATCTCTCAGTACTCCTTATTTGTTTCCCATCATCAACAATATGCTCAAGAACATCCCATAGTATCTTCCGGGTTTTCTAATTTCTTTACTTTACAGAATTGAAAGTTCGCTAACGAGTTCTATGCTAAACTTGGCCTTTTTTTGATGGCAGTACGTGTCCTTGTTTTGTTGTCTCTTCGTTTTACACTTTTCCATTCAAAAGGGTAGTGTTTTTTGAAGTTATTAGGCAAAAGTAATGAGCACTCTTTATCCTGCTGGAACGAGAAGATTCAGAAATCGCGAAGCATAACAATCCATAGGACAAAGCAAGCTCTACAAGTTCTACAAAATGAAATTCCAGTCATCGCGAATGTAAAAAAAAAACTGAATACCCATAAAAACTCTACTATACATAAACTTGAACTCTATCTAGAAATTTTCTGCTGACCAAATTCGCCAAACAATACCGTCCACATGAGGCATTCATACATGCAAAGCCGTTTTTTTGCGACTTGAAATTGAAAATTATAAGCCAAAAATATGAAAGTATCTTGTTTGGTGAACCTCGACTATTTCTTGTAAAAGGCTGAATTCTTCTCATTATTTCCAAAGATTTTTATAGCACAGAATTATTGATGTCGGCACAGTTCAACATTGCTTATACTAAAGCATGCCAATTTGGATTTGACTACCAGTCATTAAAAAATATTTTTAAGAGTACAGATGATTAGCTGATGCGATAGGAGATTTTCATAAGCAAGATGGAGATTTATAGAATACACATATATGCACAAATGTCCGATATTGGGGTTTTGCAATTTTTTAGATGTTTTGCCAAATTCATAGGTCGAACTGTTTCGCGAGGTTTACGCCGTTTTGTAGAGCTTGCTTCGCTTTATGGTTTGTTATGTTTCATATATTTTTTATTGATACTTTTGCATCAACCTTATGAAAAGCTCTCGTGCGTTACATCAATGAAATTGTAAGTATTGAATAAATCGTAATTTGAAAAAAAATGAAAAAGAACAGGATTAAAGCGTATGATTTGCACTCAACAATGTATCCGTCAAGAGACTCCTATCCATATTTGTAGCAAAAGATTCAGTATATCAAGCGAAAAATTCCAAAGGAGTGATTCTTTTTGAGAGCGCGTGCCATCATTTGAGCGCTTGTTTACGCCCATATCACTGCATTATAAGTTTGCTTTTTCTCCCTTAGCCATATACTGACTTGTGTGAACTGAGCCACATTTGCATATTATTTTCAGCAAGCTGATTATTTTACAGTAAAAAAGGCTGATGTCCATCAGAGCTTTACACTATGTATTCAAAATTGGAGATAGGAAGGCCTCTTACGATTTTTTCACAAAAGTTTTGCAGATGAAGGTACGGTCAGATTTAATCAATTTTTTTAGTTTTTGCAAGAGTATATTTAGGTCTTGCGTCATGAAGAATTCGAAGAAGGATGCCAAGCATCGTGCAATGGGTGGGTAGATTCCCGGTATTACTATCAAACATTACTTCTGCACCACTGACCCTAACTATGTTTAGACCTTACAACGGCAAGTGGAGCAAAACAATGGTTGGCTATGGTCCTGAAGACGACCATTTTGTAATCGAATTGACGTACAATTACGAAATTGGCTCTTATCGACTTGGCAATGATTACATGGTTGGTCTCGCTTACTCACGCCATGTGACCAGGAGGAATGATATGAATTACAGGGAATCTTCATAGAGTCCGATGAGCTGCACAAATTTATCGCAGGGAGGCCGGACGCGAGAAAGTTACCATGCGGAAAGTTGCAGGTGTGGATCGTCGCAGAGTTTTTTTCGTTAAATTGTGATATTGCCGCAGCTGCGGCTAGTGCGGCGGCGCGGATAGGGCGCCTCTGAGTTGATTTTATGATACTCTGACACTAGCCATTGTTTAAAAATTAAGAATTGGGAAGGACGCAAAGTTCTCAAGTTAGGCATTTACTAGTAACTAGGCAATTTCTGTAGCCAGTGACAAATAGTGCGACAAATACTTTGAATGGGGCATAGCTTTTTTACAAGGAAGAATTGAGTTTTTTTTGTACGCATGTTATTTTGATTACTACAGTAAATATCAACTCTAAGCATAATCTTGTATATTTATAAACTGTGTTCTGAAAATAGGCTTTTCAGATAACGGATCCAGATGGACACTGGTTCCTGATTTGCCCAGGAAAGGGGCCACCAAAAGTAGCGAAAATAGGCGTGCGGGTGCAAGATGTCAAGAAAAGCGTGGGTGAGTGCGCTTTCTAGGGAAAACCAAATTTAATTAAACTGTTTAGACTACTGGACAAATCAGTTGGGTATGAAGGTCGTTCAGGAACGGGATGGTGGAAGAGTTACGCTGAGTTATGGGGAGGGTCAAGTGAGTCAGTACTAATTACTATAGCATCGAGTAAATGCTTTGGTTTACAGTGTCGCCTAGAAGTACGACAACTATCTAATGGAACAAAACTTGATCGCGGAAGTGGTTATGGTCGGATAGCGTTCTCTTATCCCGATGATAAGGTAAAGTCACAACAAAGCTTGCTGCGATGATTCTGCTGAGGCTGGACCATACTTGACTTACGAACCGAAGCAGATTCGACGCACTAAACGACGCGCATCTGGAATTTGATGTCGCGTAAAAGAAATTCAGTGCAGTTGCCATGTGACATCATTCAAGTACGCATCCATTATATAGTTGTCATTGCGCTGGCGATCATATCAAATGGGTACCTCATCGCTTACGCTACGCCAAATGCCTACTGCGCATCGTTTAGTGTGCCAGTTTTGATTCGGTTCTGAAACGGCCCACAGATTAGGTATGGCAGACTACTGAAGCATTATTTTTTTAGCTTTCTGAATTGCAATCAAAAATCAAGGCGGCTAATCTCCCCATATTGAAAGAACTCGTAACTCTAGAAACACCTGGTAAAGCTAGTGTGCAAGTGGTTATACTTCTCGATCCAGTGAGTGGATAATTTTGCAGACTTTTTCCAGAAGTTTGGAAATTTACTTTAAGGATAATCATGAAATATGTTTTGTCGGTGATAAAGGATTCCGCGAGCTCAGCAAAGTTGATCCAAAAGCCGACGAGCATATTCGCAAAGAGATTGAGCAGGATAACAGCGCCAGCTGGTTTGCACAAGGGAAGAAGCAGGTTTGAGGTGACTGACATATCATTTTTTTGCATTACTAAGCAAATCTTTTATGATATTTCTAGCTTATTTACATGAACAACATTACCCAAATGTCATGCATGATCTGTCTTCCTATGACTCCACCTCCTCATTTCACATACGTTTTGACTCTTTGTACAATGTGTTCACTCTCATCATTCGTTTCTATCGATGTACTACGTGGTTGCAAATTTTATCGGTGTTTGCTACTTTGATCCTCATTAATTTTTAATAAACTTTACTTTCTAATGATCCAAACCGGTAAAGGTAGTAAGAGGTAGCAATACACAGGGAACAATTACGTCGGTTCCTATATAGTGAGCTTCCTTTCATTATCATCCGCCATGTCCTGCACATATTTAGCCACATACGAGCAAGTCGGCTTCACTTTGTAGTTGTTTTCGGCAGCATATTTGAAGCCTTCCTAAATTCGAGATGGAGATGATTCATCAGATGTCAATAGCATTTGTGGTGCACTAGATGACATGTATACCAGAAATAGAAGATAAGTAAACCAATAATGGAGCAAGAACACATTGCGTCTCTTTGGTCATCCACCAATTAATCCATCCACCAATTAATTATTTCTTATTGAGGCTAGTAGACCAGTAATTGAAGGTGCTAGATTGCATTCGCTCGCTTCGGGACCGCATTGCTGTTTCCCGCTATTTGCAGATTTTTGAATTGCGCTTACGTTTCTTTGTATTTTAGATAAATGGCCAATCTAAGTTGGAGGAAAATTTGCAAACAGACATAAGAAAAACGTATAAGAAAGGGACCAATTTTTTTTCGAAAACGCGCTTACAATTTCAGTAAACAAATTCATAGTAAGCTCACCTTAACGAGCATTCTTGCTATTCCTTTTCCTTGCTGATCCGGCGGTGTTTCTGTATGGTGAAAATCTAACACCCTATTTGGCAGTTCAGAGTATTGCATCACTGCACGGCTTCCGTTATCTACACAGAACCACTTATTAGGTAAAACAAACTTCCTGGGAAATTTATAGAAAACAACACATTCAAATGATTCAAGAATTAAAACGCACTAAAATTTATAAAGAACTCCATTGCCTTCTTGCTATGTTGAATTCGGAAAGCCATCTGAAAATGGAGTGAAAGAAATCATGGCTGACACATTGTGAAATGGAATAAGCACAAGAATTAGGATAACTGCTTCTGTAACATCGCAACATTCATTTATGTACATTTATTAACTCTGTGGCGATAGAAGATCCTCATACAATCACAATTCCACGGAACGACTAGCAAATGGTGACTTCCACAGATACACAGGGTACGGCAATACAGTAATTGCTGGTGACTCAATATGCAAAGAAAAATTACAAAAAGTAAAAACGAAGAAGAAAAACTGTAGCTAGCGGGACGATTGTCAAGATAGGAAGGACGGACTTGCGCAAAAATCATTATAAAAAAGAAGAAGGCCCGGAAGCATACTGAGAACCTAACAAAAATATTCAAGCAGCTTCCCAGCCAGCTGGCAAGCTAAGGTCCTAGAAATTTTTCATAAAATTATCAAAATGCAAAAGTGGAGATTTAAATTTTCGTGGATAGGAAGAATCAAAACGATTTGGTTTATATGAAGGTAAAGTAGAAGAAAAAACAGAAAAAGTGCTTAAGTTGTGTGGAATAAGTCCAGCAAAGAAGAGCTAGTGATGAGGCATATGGTGACTAGCAAGAATACAAAATCGATGCGATCGATTTTAGCATATTTCGCTTATCAGAAGAAGCGAAAGTACAAGAAGTAGAGTTGGCTAAGCGAGAGATTACTTGGTAACGATAGGTAATTCAGCGTCCACTTCCCATATGATAAGATGAGACATGTCTCGCGCGCGAACACCTTTTGTAACAATCGGCGGTTCGTTTTCTTCACCTAAAACGACAGCATTACGCGATACTACGCAAACAAAGGAAAAGATTATTTTCAGACTCTGATCGCTGCAAAGCGTGAATGATCATACATTGATGATGCCACAAAGCATGGTCTCAAAGAGACTGAGTTTTTGGTTACTGCATGACATCTGAGAAATGTTGCGTATCCCCAAAGCATGTTACTTTTAATGACAGAACAAAGTTTTTTAAGACGGAACTTTTTACAAACGTATATAGTTTGCTGACCAAAATAAGTGATGAAGTAATGCCAAAAGATGAATTACCTATCCGGAAGTCAATGTAACCGTCTCCTCCTGAGATTACGAGCATTTTTCTCAATTCGGCTTCCTGATCCTCTTCATACGATCGAGGCGCCCCTACAATGATAGTCAGCTGCTTTTCAGTTTCCATCCAATATGTTAGCTCAATATGGTACCTGGCACAGCTATGAAGAACTTCACGCTATCTTTATGACCATGGAATGATAACTGCGCTTGGGAGAGATTACAGTATGGTATAAACGCTCCTCCAGATGAACTAGAGCTTGAAGAATCCTGGAAGCAAATTTCTAAATTACGGATACACATCTCCCAAAAGCCTAATAAAAACAATGCCCTCAAAAGCGGAACAAAAACGGAAGAAACACAGAGGGAAACAAAGGGATAGCTACCCACGTCTTGCTTATCTTTGATGACTCGCACCAGTCCACCAGGACCGTTTGAACCTTTCCTAGCATCTGAAGTTTCTACTTTTTGCTCCATACCTAGGAGTGAAAATTGACCGAAATGGCAAGTGAAGGTGACCATAATATGCGCAAAACGTACTATCACTTAATGGAACCGAAATCACCACGCCGGTGCCAGTTCCGATCCAGATGCGGCGATTCGAAACCATAAGAGCTGTGGTGCGCATGTACGAAAAGTCTAGCCGAGAAGTGCCTTCAAAGAGAAAATAAATATCCTAGAGAGAAAAGAAAGTACTGTGCGAGCATACCCAACATTTTGGTGACATAGGGCTCGATATCCACATCCTGAAGGTGTTCAAATGTATGTGCATGGTAAAGTCGAAGTGTAGAATCGAGACGTATCGACAGCCATACTCCGGCTCCAATCCACTGCACTGCTCGTACTTGACTATCTCGCCTTGGATGTGCAGCGAACACTTTCTGAAAGGAAAAATTGATTGGGGTCCGCATCTGGTTTCAAGGAAATTTCTAATAATAAGCACTTACCACTATTTGAAGAGTTTCACCGTCAACAACAACGATGCAATTCTTATAAGCAGCCCATATGTTACTTGCTACAACGCAAAGGCATCGTACAGAAGACGTAGCCGGTCCGATTCGGATCGTATGATAGCCAAAATCAGCCCATTCGCCACCTTAACCAATTTTTGAAATGTAGCCACAATATCTGAAGCAATACTACTGCATTCGTCTAAGCTGTGGACCACTTATTGAATTCCGGTAATAAACCACGAATACGAAAGCTAACAAGTCACGCAAGCGGTCTAGTTCTCTCCAACGGTCATGCGGAGACATCAGTAAATTACGAACATTGCTATTACTGTTCGCTATTATGCATGCTGTCCCAAAGTTTAAAGCTAATATCACTCTATAGACTTCCACAATTTTTCAGATTAGTCCATTTTGCTCTCCATAAGGAATTCACAGCAATTACCAATTTTTTTGTAGTTCTTTTCAAGTTAATATATCTTGAACTAGTCGTTCATACTCTGCTTTAGATGTAGCTCATTTAATTCAAGCAACATAAGATATAATAACGAATCATAATATACTGTATGAGCAATTGCCAGCAAACCTTTTGCTCTGTGGAATACTGCGACTGTTCCATTCGCTAGCGCGGCAAAAACTTTTCCTTTGTAGTGACTTAAATAAAAAGGCGTCATCAATAGATAAAGAACGATAGCAAGGGCTTACATGATGGAAAGCACAGCATCCGGCATTCTTATCCTCCTTAGGCATCGCTTCCACTGGGTTACAGCTGAGTGGATATAAATGCTAAAAAAACATATTCCTATGTGAATGCTAATGATGCATTGAATGATTTTTTGGGGTGTAAATATGAAAGTTATTAAACAAAATCTAGTATCAATGAGTGATGCAAAAAACTCACTACTGATTCTGACTTCCTAACCATACAGTGGGCCAGCCAGTGATTGCCTCGCCAGACGTCTCATCGTACTTGCTCATCGCATCTCGAATGTGCGGGGGCAGAGCAGCTCTACCGACACGGCTCCCAGACGGATGTTGTAGTTCTGCTTCCGCTAAAAAAAAGTTTCTCAATACGCTGTGTAAAACTTATTTAGATCACCCAAGTAAGGTAAATCCCACTAAGTGCTGGAATAAATAACCGATCAATAGGACGTGCGCCAAGTGACAGGAAGTTAGCAACCAAAAAGGTAAGGATACAAAGCGGATGTACCATATAGCAGCAAAATATACTACTCAGGCAGCAAAATGCATAGGAGCCGAGAGCGACAAAGCCGACCACATAGACGCCACTACAACACCCATATTCCACCTTTTTGTTCATCGGTCTTTTCAAGCCATATTAGACCAAATGTTGATTCGGATGATTTTTGCTCTTTTTGTTCCACCTCTGACTCTTCCTCGTCTACTTTTTCCATCGGTGTGATTTTCGCTATAAACGTACTCTACATCTCACTTCACTCTTACTTAGGGTGATAAACATGAACGATCATAAATCGCACCTTCAGGGGATCCTTTGGCGGCTTCAGTCTCGCTAACGCTGACTGAAATAAACAAATTGTGAAACGAGAGTCAACACAAAAAGCAGGTATGTGAAAAGGTTGCCGGAACGAACATAATGACACACTAAGTGATAAGAGATGAAAGAACTCGCGGAGATGAAAAAATGTCATGAACTCACAGTCTCTGACCCTCTTTGGACTTGGGCGCATGTCGTTGCTGCAATATGTTGGTACGCCATCCTCGGAATCTTCCATTCTTCGCAATTCTACCCATTCGCAAGCTCCCAAATCAGTTCCGTCGATACCTGCGTATGCTAGACTTATCAACTCACTTCGATAATCGCAGCAAAACTTCAAAAATGAAAACTCACTTTCTGGCAGATCTTTGACTTTTCCTCCACCACAAAGGAAATTTTTAGCAACAATATCATCAATAAACGGTTCACCTTCCGAGATGCCTAAATACGCACTTCTCCATCAATTTGGTTCAGAGGAAAAAGCATAGCGAAAATAAAAATTTGTTTTGCACAAGCCCAATGTAGTAATCTGACATACCTGGAACACCTTTGATGCAAAGCAGATGACTTTCGCACGCGAGGAACGTCTCGATGACATTGTTTGGATTGTTGGCATCAAGGATTGCAACGTGGCTCTTGCCTTGATTAGAACTACCAATCCATACTACAGATGAAGATTCCCACTCAGCCAGTTCGCACTCCCGAGCATCCAAAGCTCGTGCTCGCTGGAAGATCGCACAAATTATTAAATTATCATTAACTTCGAAATGAAAAAGGTACCGAAATTTCATCCTCAAGTTTATCACCGCCTTCTTTTCCTTTTGGCAACACAGCAGCCCTTGGAGAGAAATAGATGGGATCACCGGTGATGAACTTGCCATCCTTGTCTAGTCCTCCTCTCAAGGTCACAGCAGTAGCACACCACACCTTCAATGTGTACAAAACAGCATACACTTGGAATTTTCGAATATCAGTAGAATGCAGAAAAATTAACTGCAGGGAATAAATCAAAAATTGTGAGCTGGGTACTTCTTTCGAATTACCTTGATTGACGGTTGATTTTCCATGAGCGGTCGACAACATACGGGAACCGGTACCATCGATGACGCATTCGAATTATCAAGCGTTGCTGGCAAAGACCATCCATATGCCTGTAAAAATACAAAAATCATAAATCTGAACAAGATTATAAAATTGAAATGTGAGTTCTCAAAGCATACAAGCAACCATAAAGAAATCGAAGTAAGAACTTGAAGAACAAATGATTTTGGGGTTAAAGTGCAACACATGCTGAAAAATTCCCATGTTGTTTCGGTAACTTGTTCGAAACTAAGCAAGTAATTATTCCATTTACAAGGAAATCTCTATTGGTACCCCACATGCAGAAGTTGCAAAGCCCTCGCGTATATTAGGTGGCGAGCTCAGAGATTAAACTGATTTGGTGCTCCTGAACCCCGAGAACTATGAACAGATCAAGATAGGAAATACATGCTTGAGATGAATCCATAGTTTTACTCAAATGGTTGGTTCACCAAAGGACGCTTTTTAGTTTGCCTTGCGCAAAAATCCTGTTCAGCTACAACGAACTGATCGCGTCGAATTTGATAGAGCCAATGGTACGGACTGTGTTAGAGCGAAACCATAGAGAAACCAGATGTGACCCGCAAAAACTTACAAGGGAAGTCACTTAACTTAGGTCGGGCTTTTGAAATGGCACACATATATTTAGAATCAGCTTGGAACGCTGATTCCAAATATGTTATCCTTAGCTGCGAAGCGTTCCTCTGAACCGAGTTATGAGCTTTTTTAGTAAGTGTCATTGACACACAACTGAATATGGAAAGAAGGTCTTTAGATGAAAATTTGCCCAAAAAGTGGTGGAAAATCAAAATAACATCAAAATGAGTGATTTGGCTTTGATAAGTTGTAATATGCATTTGAACCACTACCTAGATGATGATACCGTAGCATGCCTAAGTCGGTCAACACGCAAAATTTGCTCAGGAAAAAGCTCATAACTCGCTTCAGAGGAACGCTTCGCAGCTAAGGAAAGCAGATTTGAAATCAGCGTTTCAAGCTGATTCTAACCATATGTGTCTCATTTCAAAAGCCCGACCTAAGTTAAGTGACTTCCCTTGTTAGTAAACTGGAAGTGTGCCGATGTTGACACTGAACTAAAAATCGCAAAAAGGGAAAAAAAAAATAAATGCGCTCTCTCACATAGGACGGCAAGTGTCTACGTTGGCATTACTCCAAGCAGCCGATGTTCTGACACAACGAGCACGTACTCGAGCACTGAGCTCGTGCATGAAAATTGCTAGAGATTTAAGATGTGCCCCGGATCCAACCGCATTACAAGCCAGTAAAGGCGCCTCGGCCATCGTGGTTGACGTACTTTCAGAAGTAACCCTCTTTTGGGGCTACAATATTTCGGTGGTGGGCAAGCCCCCCCCTCGCCCGAGAATGGGTCGCGAAATTTTTGAAAGTTGCATGAGTTACGAATATGTGCAAGTAATTTGTTTAGACACAGATAACGGTAATTTGGAAAATTTTTTAAAAAATCGATTTAGGTTGGGGAAAACTTTTTGGTTGCGTGGCTGCCGCTAGCCCACTTTTTCAAAACTTCTGGGGTATAGGGCCGCAAAAATTCTAAGGAGCATTCCAAAAAAATTTTGGGACCTCCATTCTAGCAATTTTTTGTCCTCCCCTACCCCGAATGGAAAGAAATCCTAGGAGGAGTACCACTGCTGCGCTCTTGTGCCATTATTCGCTGCGATAATGTAGCAATTAAAGATCAGCAAAGAGTAAATGTTCGCTTTTATTTACACATGTTTTTGCTTGCAACCCAACCTCCACAAACAACAAAAATAAGAGAGTCCATCTCAATGACTCGGGGCAATACAAATTTTTATAGTCACTAATGATTTCAAAAAAGAGCTTGTTACGAGCTGCAAATATTACCAAAATTCAAACCATATGTTTAGCTTAACTATTCCCACGTGAGATCTATGACAAGAAGTCTCTTATCCCGCACATAATCAACTCGCGGCATCTTATGTCGAATATAAAGCTCTGAGTCGAGAAAAAATGCTTTGCAATCGCTGGATAACAGAAGAGAGCGCTATTCGGCTATTCGGGTCAGCATCTGAACAACCATTTCCCCTGTGCAATGTTCCAAAAACCAAATCAATAAATTTACAGCTCAAGTTTGAGCGTATGACAGCCGAGTAGGTAGATTTCCCGCTTAATATAGTGTGCTTGCACAGAAGGTGAAATGCGGTAAAACTTGCGCGTGAAGAAGTAGCCATGCCAGTACTGGCGGCATTTCGCGCCCGCAATTGGCCGGCGTCAGTCGAAACTATTTGTTAACGCGCAAATTTTACCGCATTTCACCTTCTGTGCAAGCACACTATATTAAACGGGAAATCCACTCGACTGTATAGGGCATTCGAGAAATCGTGACGATGGCGCGACCGCACGCAACACGCACGCACTCCCAAATCTTCGTTTCTACTCTACTTGAATAGTTTTTCTGCTTACATATGATACTATGTAGGTACTGGAAGCGGCTGAGCATAACGTTGAGGTGTTGCCTGTTCGTATGAGTTTATGTTCGGGAGTTTTATCCTTCTGTGTGCGCAGAGACCGCAGTCAACTCGTCGTCACGATTTTAAAAATGAACCATACCTGCATTTTGAAATAAACCTAAACAGCCGGGTAGCGCTCAAAAAAGAATCCCCAAGCATTAACTAATCTAGCCGAAACCGAATGTTAGAAGCAAACAAAAACTACCGCCATAGGACTTTTCCAGCTGTCTTCAATGAGTCTTTGCGATAGAGATAGTGACTACAAAAGCATAAGGCTAGATTCAAAGAATATTTGTGTACATACACCAAATTCTACCTCTATTCGGCCGCTGTCATCTCGTTTCACATGTTCTCGTACTAATTTATATTGCTCTCGCCGTTCAGCAGCTCGCCTTTCGGAGATCCTGAATTATAATTGATCCTATCAACATCACGGCAGAGCATAGAAATAAATAAAACAATGACAAATGCGTTCAAAACATTTACTATCACGACAAAACACTACCCGTAAATGCATGCAAAGAAGAGCTATGCTCAAGCACACCGACACATACCAAATGCATGGACTATTACAATGGTGAGCATCCTAGTTGCTCAAACCTCCAAAATCACAAAAGGAACCAAACTTCTTATGGATATATACCTGATATCGCTAATAATAATGCTAAGACAATGGCAGAAATTTGCGTAGTGAGAAGTGTAAGTGCGTAATAGGGAATTGACGTGATATTATTCAACCAATAAGCCTGGGCTTGTGCAAAGTGTGCTTTCACACCCTCTCACTGCGGAGGGAAAATCTATGTGAAGAAGGAAAAACCGGAAAGGATGCGGACTTGCGAGATTTCCAATAGTATTCCTATTTTACAATAGTAGAATTGAAGCGCTCCCAACACGTCGTTTAGTGCCCCTCAACCTGAGCGACTTATAAATTCTCGAAAATTCAGCGACCACAGCAACTCATAAATTCTCGAAGATTCAGCGACAAGTTGTCACTTCGTCCATCATCTCGCAACATGTTCGATCCACCCATGCCCGCCGCACACTCCGCTCAGAACATTTAAAAAAATGGGGAAGTCATATGTACCATGACTGCAACCTCGCTGACACTAACTTCAAAGTGCGGAAAGCTATGAGTCAAAGACAACAGTAGAAACGTAGAGATGACTTGAAAATGCTATTGTGCAAGTGCAAAGGTGGAAAGACTTGCTGAAAGAAAAGAAATTGTAAGAAGATTCGTAAATATCTGAGGTGTTATGAGCAATATTTTTATCAACAAGTGACGAAAACTGTCCGTAATCACCTCAGATACTCAGATGTGCGTTTATAGTGCCAGCGCAGGCCAGTTCTTGCACTATTCAGGTCGCTTCGCAACCGCACGCGACTTGTAATCGACTGCAAAGAAGAAAAGGTTTGCGCGTAATTTCGTTGAGGCTTGCCCCCATCGATATCAGGATGAAAAGGTTGTCTAAACAATTAGGTAAAAGCAGTTCAAACGGGTACAACCGAGTAAGGGCCGCTATAATTTGCGGATTGAGCTAAAGATCACCTGACACTTGCCCGCGCGACAACTATAAACGCAACTCAAGCATTCTAAAAAGATAGAAGCAGTAAGGCTTAGTCTTAGCAAACCGGGTTCGACGTATAAGATCTAGAGATTATGACTATAAGTATATCAAGTGTAAGATCTAGCTGCGATTCTTCCAAGAAAAACTATCGTTGAAATTGTCAAAAGAAGGCGCGCCCTGAAACTTATGCAAAACATCTTCTATGCGATGAGAATATCAAAAGGGCAAACTTGTAGATTTCGTTATTTGCTAATTACAGATGATTACACTCCCACACAAGTATCCAAAGATGGCTGTGCAGAGTGCAAGTGCGTAGGCGAACATGCAAAACGCAAGCCACTGATACCCATATAACGACACACAAACAACGCGACACTGCCCCGTATTTCCATATCATTTCTGTACTGACATTTCAGGATCGAGATATTCCACACTTCGTGTCATCTGGTTTTTGCGAGCATCAGCACGAAGACCAGTTCGACGTTGTTGTGATGGTGGAGATGAATCACCAAAGAGCCCAGAAAAGCTGAAATATCAATTTTTCTCTTATATCGTCTAGAAAGCTCATAAAAATAACACTGATTGAGATAAATGAGCCCTTACAAGTCCCAGATTCCTCCTTTTTTCGGTGCTGTGGATTGCGCTTGCAATTTTCGAGCTCGTTGCATCTCGGTCCATTTCAGAGATTCTTCCAATTCCATAAGCTTTTCCTAGAAATTATAGCTATAGATATAATGGCAACTTGTATAGCTAAGCATTTATACTTTCAATCACACCACTATATAAAGCAATATTTTTGAAAAATTCAGATTATTTACGTAATAGCATACTCTAAGACTCAAAATATATAGAAACCCAGGTAATCTAGCAAATTGAACATTATAACAAAGATGGAATGAAAATGAGACAAAACCCACTTTGTACATATTCCTATCAATGAGAACTCTTTGCATTTCCATACGAGTGAATCTCTTTCGCTGCGCTAGCGGAACTTCCTCCTGTAAAATAAGCCATAAACACTTACTTGAACATCAACAAGTGGTACCTCCTCAGCTTCAGCCTCCTTCTCAGCCAGTTTTTGCTTGACTGTCTTCACTTCCTCTTCGAGCTTCGTTATCGTATCACCCATTTTTACCCGTACCATTTCAAGACTATGAACCTCATCGCGAAGGATGGCATTCTCACTAAAATTACCTTTGTTCAAATGGGACAACACCAGCGCAAGTATGGAAACTACTTCTGAACGAAATTCTCATTCAAGCAAAGAAAATTATCCGATTTACCTGCTCAATTCGTCAACTCGAGCGATGAGATCATTTTTGACAATATTCAAGGCATTTTTCATATCGAGTAATTCCATATTTTCCTTGATAAGGTTCTCCACTTCTCGACCCATTCCTGATTTTGAGATATAGTCACAGTAAGGTTTACATGACGGCATGCAAATACAATGAAGCTTTTTCAACACTCAAAACATTTTGGTTTTTCATGCATGAGCGCTCTTGCGACACTAGGTATTTCTCATCAAAAACAATCCAGAAGTTCAAAACACTTGAGCTTATATTGATATTTTGAGGACAAAGCACCGTACAAACCACAGCACTACATACCAAACATACCTATGAAAGTGTCGTTAACTGAAATTATTAGGGAATTAGTGGTTTGGTGAGTTTGTAGAATTACAGCAAGCATGCATGCGATTTGAGGACAAGAGAGATTGGGCTTATAATGCGTGTTATAGACAAGGGCACCAAAAGCGGACCTCTTACTAAAATTTCAAGAAGAGAAGCGTCAGAAAGTCTCAAAATCTAAGACGGTGCTGCAAGTGCCCCTATCATTGACAAAAATCATGCATTGTTATTGTGCAAACAGCTTCCACAAATGGTAGTCCAATCCATTGTTAACGACTGATTATTCGGGTTAGGCGACTGGCTATTCACAGTATAACATCGAATTATCTGCCTTACCATTTTCCGAATCTGTAGATGAACTTTGCCTTCGACGTTTCCTTCGGGTCATCTTGTCTTCCTCTTCCGTTTCTGTTGAACACACAGCACATTAGGACAACATTGAGCAACTAAGGTTGGAATGTCAAGCAAACAGGTGTAGTGATAGGTGTGTGATGAACTCGGGTGCAAAAATTTTCAGAAAATAAAAAAAACGCATATACACGATAATCCCCAAAAAACCACAACAAAATAATCCAGTGACCTCACCCAACTCACTGATACAACATGCCACGATTCCAGAAAAAAAAAACAACAACTTGGGAACTACGCTCTTGTAAACGCATGCACTACCACAAAAAAGGCAACAATTACCAGCTGATGCAAATTCCGCCGGATCAACGAGATTTCCTGTAGAAAAAAGACAGAAAGTATTGATCGCTACATGAAAAATCTATGATGACATGTATTTGCATGTGCGTGATTTTGGGTGAGGCAAACTAGGAAGACCTGTAGATAAGTGGGTATGACTAAGAGCAGGACCTATAAGAAGTCTAAAAGCTTAGAGACTAAATGCTAAAGCTGACGGAAAGATTGGGTACATCTCAGGTTTAAAAAATTGCAAAGAATCAAGACGAACAAAGAATAACTTACCAGTGAGATCGGCACTGAGAGAATCTTCACCATCTTGTTGCTCTTCTCCTTCCCTGAAAATTATTCTTGAGCGAGTTGATTGATTCTGAGCGCCAATGACTTACTCCTCATCTTTCTCCCCTTCTTTCTTGACACGTGGAGCTGCCTCTGTTTCAGCGCTTGGTGCCGCTTTCTCCTCCTCCGAGGCCAAATCTCTTGGTGACGGTTCCACGTCTGACGAGAATTCGTCTCGCCAATCAGCTGAAAAAATCAATAATAAAGGGCACTGATATGTAAAATTTCCATATAGAGACAAACCTTCATCACTGATATGATTAGCAAGATTTACGTCCATCGTGGTACTTTGAGACATATGGGCACTAATCAAGTCTGAGACGCCTCGGATAGACGACGCATCTACAGATGCGGCCATACCCATTCTGGAACTGAATCAAGTCAGGGTAGCGCCAAAGTCTGCTACCTTCCAAGATTCCCAACCAAGGCGGAAAGTACAACGGGAAATCTCACTTTAGTGTGATGTGGTTTAAAATTTCGAACACTCATCTTGGGGAATGAAATCACACAAAGAGCCGAAGGTCCTATCAAGTCAATCAAATCTTATATTGCTGAATTGACGAACAGAATCTCATCAACTCATTCCGATCACATAGAATCAACGAACTTCACAAAAAGCAAATTTCCTTCTTCGTTTGAAGCTCAACCTATGTGTAAAAAGTAAGCAACTAATATATATCTCCAATTTTCATGAAACAAGGTTCAAGCTCCAATTTACGATTCCTTTTAAGTGAAGCACAAAAAGCATCCCTGTGATACAGGCTCAAAAGCGCAAAGCATCGCAAACGAACGGCTGGTGAAAGCAATTTTCATATATCTTCAACTGCAAGAATACGGCGCTCGGGAGGGAAAAGGCCAAACAGGAAATCGATTTCAGGTCGAATCTACCTTCATAATTTTGAGCAAACATTAGCGAAGTTGCGATCAATATCCCATAAAGTACATGACGACATGCCATAGGAAATATAGAAACAAAATGCAAAACATCGGGCGGAGCAGATGAGATTCGCAATTTGAAAGTCAAACTATGGCTTAGAAGCCGTTAAAAGCGCAAACATCGAAAAATGACGCCGCTGAAACTCTCTGCAGGTTCGATCAAATTCAAATACTCAAATTGATGTGCAGAAACAAAGGAGGTCGGACACATCAAACAATGAAAACTCAAAAGTGCATCACCTGTTCGATCTTCCCTATTTAGAAAAAAAATCGTCTTGGTTGATGAATCCAGGGAGTTTCGGATAAAAGACAGGAGAGGTAAGCTACAGCTTGAGTATATTCACTAATACGATAATCTGAGATAAATCCATGTGAACCGCAACACCGTGCAATATGCAAGCCGATACTATGAGTAAAAACTGAACCCCAGTAGAAGTGCATGTTAGTGAAAGAGGAAGAACCCGAGTGTCACATAAAACTCACTGGTACTGCACACCACATGGCAAATAGTAACTAGAAAGCACATCATGTTCTAATGGAATAGATTCTATGAGTGATACCAATCCCAAGTGTGATTTCACTCGAGAATCACTTCACAATACTCCACTCATGCGTGGCGAACACAATAAAAGTTGGTGACCGAAACTCCCGAAGAGATAAGCTTTGAACCAACTCACCTTGACCGCAGCTGGGCTTGTGGAAGTGGCATATTTTGCATCAGCTCAAACTTATCGTTACCCATAAGATACTTTGTTCGTTCCATATGGTCAACATGGGTACGTAGCAAGGCATTGTATCTGAATTTTGCGTCATTGTTGAGCTGGATCTCGGAGCAAACAATCAAATGTGTAAAGAAATGCAACATACCTTTCGTGCAATCGATCAAATTCAGCCTTTTGATCAGCTTCGCGTTCTTCGAGACGGGCAGCTGCAAGGTGATTTTAGAAGAGAGAAAATACTCATCAAGCCTTTGAAAAACAATGAAGACTCACCGTGATCTGATGCGTTTTTAGCCTTCAACTCCAACATTCTCATAATGGACTCAAGCGATTCAATCTTTGATTCTAGCTCTTTATTTTGGCCGATAAGGTTATCCTCAATTTCCATGTACTTCTGCAAAAAATGAACTATTCAAAGGCAGGAAATAAATACCCTCCTCAAAGTTTTCTACTAGAAATGGGAGAATATGCAAAAAAAAACCAAATCAAGCATAAAATAGTATAAAGAGTGCCAACACAGATAAAGAGATGCAAAAGCAATATTCACCTGTTCAGCTTGCTTTCTCAACTGCTTCTCTCTTTCATACTGCGTGACAAGTTGCTCATTATCCTCCTTCAGCATTTCCTGATCGACTGCTTGTTCTTCTCTTTCCAAAAACGCGAGATCCAACGCTTCCAGAACATTCACGACCAACGGCATCAATGTCTGAATCTATGGGATAGGAAAACGTTCTTTCGAAATAATTTGCTCTTTTGATTGACACAAGCCAAATCGATCTGACACAGTTTTCCAATGCCAAACAAGAGATCTATGGATTTACAAACAAGACAAGAAAATAATTTGGGAATGAACTCACTTTAACGCCATCTTCGCCATATTTCTGTATCATGAGCTCGAACTCGCGATATATGGCCGAAGCCATATTTTGGACTTTCTCGGACATGTTACGATGCTCGTCACCGGTTGGAGAAACAGTGCCTCCGTACACCACCTGAGAAAATTTGGGGCGATTCATTGTCAAGAATGGATGTGCTACGAGAACAAGAATACAACAGATTTTGCAAAAAATGCTAGGAAAGCCACAGCTGTAAAATCTTGCCAGCAAACAGTGGCAGTAGGAGTGATAAGAAAGTGCACGCGATGATCACGTGGATAGGAACGCAGACAGGCACACGATCATAAGAATTACAGCGAGTAATTACAAGTATATTGTAATAAGCAAAGGTTATGCACTATGAACAAAAAAACAAAAGATTTAAAAAAAGCATAAAAACTCATAAACCGTTGATGAGTGGCCTTACCTCAGACGGTGACCCATTCAAGGGCGAATCCTGAACTTCGCTAATACTTTGTAAGGCTGACATACTTGATCTATTCCTTGTTGAGATGTTCAAGGCAAACTTTCACCTCATCTGCAAACAGAGTGTAAAAAAACTACAAAATTTTCCCCAAAATAAAGCGTGATACGATGGTGATGCGTCAATTGAAGCATAATGACATTTCTAGCACAGCTGCTACCATCTGCTAGCGCAGGAACTGAGCAAAACCGCCACGTTAAAATCGATATTCCAACATGTGAGGTCCGATTCTGTGAAAACTCGTTGAATTGACGCGCTACCGCAGAAAAATGAGTCAGCTGCGGCGGGCGGATCCGTCGCTCGCTTGATGGCAAAGTTTATGCGCCATTTCCTGTATCGACGGCTTATAGGACCGTTTTAGTTTACGAAAAAAGCAACCGAAGCCGTGTACTTTCTCTTCACACAAAACAGGCAGTCAAACGAAACAGAGCTTTAAAAATCTACGCAAATGGGGGGGGGGGGGGGGACGTCAGACGGCTGTTCGTATAAGATCCCTCAATAATAGGTGATGGACATTACCCCACCCTACCTTATCTAACCAATGGGAAGGTCCAGGAGCGCCCCGTAGTGTGAAGAAGGGGACTCTTAAAGATAGTGGTAAGGATCAGACTCTGTTAGACCAAAAAATCTACCCTTAAATTGGTAGGTTCCTGAGAAAATAACCATGCTTATTTAGCATACAAGGATCTCTGAAACCGTGGGACAACACAAAATTCTCAAATTTTCGTTATTTATAAAGGAATGTGCGGATAGGTTCCAGAGCACACAAGTCAAAAAGTCGCTTATCGGAAGAAGGTGAATCGTTTTCACTTTTTCCTCCCTCTGAGGAAATTTGGCTGGTAGACCTAATTCAGAAATGTTGTGCTAAACAAGTACCAACACTTACCGGGGTGGCTACTGGCTGATTTGCACTAGCAAATCGCCGCCGGGGGCTGGTCAAACGCGCCACGCCCACGGGTGGAGGACTATATGTCGCCGAAAAAGGGCGGTCCCCGCGGTCATTTGCGACAAATACGTACCCTTGTACATGCGCGGACATGCGTTCCTGCAGGGAATCCGCGGGACTCTTCCAAATTCGGCGACATATAGTCCTCCACCCCACGCCCACTACTTCTCACCGGCCCCGACCAGACTACTTACGCTCAAAAGCGCCCGGAAGCGCCCAAATTCCTCTGTCTCTTCACTTTTTCGTGTGAAGAGAGATGAGAGAATTATAGAAATTTGGGCGCTTTTGAGCGAAGTCTGGCCGTAGCCATCTCGAGAAAATAAGCTCAAGAAGCGATTTTTCGGGGATTTTTTCAAGCTAAAAGTATGTCGGGTCCAGCAAATTCACAAGGTCTAGCGGTAAAATAAAAAAAATCGTCGAGGATTTGCCAGAACATTGCTCTCAGTCAGAAGCATTGATTTTATCCATGACGTTGGTTGAAGTGCAATGAAAGCGCATCCGCGAATGGTTCAATGAGTGCACAATGTTGACTATTCTATTCTTTGCCTAACACGAAATGACTGGTGTTCCCAGCCCTTTTGTTCCGAGTGAAAAATGATACCGACGAAATTCTTGACGTCTGTTGACGCTGTAGGCAAGAAATTCGTCATTTACGGATTTCCAGCTTCAAAATGTGCAGCTGATTAGTGGCTGTCCAAGCATGATGTCATAAATATTGAGGTATTATAGGGCTGCTGTAGTCATGTGAATGAACTAATGAGAAGTAGACACTTTTCTAAAGGCACACGCCATAATTGATTCACATGATCATCCACTTCGCTATTGGTCAATTTAGTGAACAGACCAATAGCGAGGTGGATCGAGTGGAACTATGGCGTGCGCCAAAGACGAACTACTCGCCGCTCAAGCTGGGAGTGATTTTATACACGATTCATGACACGCAAAGACTGGACGCCGTTGCGTCCTGCCAGAATAGTTTGTGCATGGAAGAGAGAGCAGATGGTAAGAGCGAAAGAGCGCTCGATCAGAGAGACGCCGCTAGGTCCGCAGTCTTTGCGAGCTATGAAATCGCCTGTAGATTGTCTGCGTCTTTTCAAAAGCTTACTCATCATATCGCCATCTCTCCATCTTACTCTCAGGATTGATCTTGCCGCAAACGTCGCGGATACAAACTGAGTTTACTGTTTGTCCCAGTTCCACTCAGACCAAAATTGGCATGGCGCGAATCCGCATCGCGAGATTTTGCGCCACCTGCGGCTAGCTTGTTCGCCTTCTTTTCAATCTCTTCATCTTTCCACACAGCGCGCATGCAGCGCAACCCCTCAACGCTGCGAACAGCAATTTTAAAGGCGGAGAATCGGCAAAATGGACCCTTCTCGGATTTTGGTAAAGTTAGGTAGTAGGCCCTCTCCCCGCTCCCCAAGTACACTGTAGCCTGAATCCCACCACCCAACTCATGCGCTAAGCCTGAAAAATTGGCTTCAAAATTCCACCGGCCCCGCCCACTTCCATGTATTGGCACGAGGGATTTAAGCTACAGTGTACTTGGGGTTCTACTAACTCCGCCAAAATGAGAGAACTGTCCATTTTGCCGATCCACTGCCTTCAAAGGCAGTGTCCGGGCAAAGTGGGGGTTTTATGATTTCAGTGCCATGCGGAAGTGGCCCTCCTCAGACACAGCTCGCGCAAGTACGAGATTGTAATGTTCGACCTAAGGCTGCGTTCATACTGGCCCCGAGGTCCGGGAATAGTCCTAGCATAGCGCTCGAACTGAGCGCTGTGCTGAAATTGTTCCTGGACTTCGGGATCATATGAACGCAGCCTAAAGTAAGAAGAACGACAGGGAAGTGGGGAAACTTACGCCTTGGGGCGGGGTCCTCCGACCTGTCTGAATTCCTGCCAAGCGGCAGAGTACGCATGCCGCCACAATCGTAAGGCACCTGCCATATTTGACCCTCTTGATCCGCTTCATGCAAAACGCGCGCACACAGCAGTCTGTCATTTGTCGCTGCGTGGTAAAATGGAATTTTGTATGGTTACGGCAAATACGCTGTACGCGACGCCAAATGACAAATTAGTTACGCGCGTTTTGCACGAAGCGGATCAAGTGGATCAAGCGGATCAAGCTCAGACAAATCTGCGCGCAGGCGGCGCGCACTGAATCCGCGAGCGATGTACCTTCCCGCCGCCTGTGTGTGCCGTGCGCGCCGCCTATGGATTGAAGGTCCGCCGCCTGCGCGCTACGAGAAAAATTTCGGCAAGAATCTGCTCGGATTTTTGTTGTCGGTCTGAATATCTTATGCTTGTTGGACAATGTGGTTTCACTACTATTTTATTAACGAATAATATTTACAATTTTCAAATTTGACAGGTTTTTAACACAAATTGCAACAAAAATACAGTATTTACAGGATAAGCTGTCTTTGACAGCTGGCATTCAATACTATTTAGCTTACTTAGTACTTACAAATTCACAGATATTTCAAAGTCAACATCAACAACGCATTTACATTCGGATGTGATATCCAAGACGTGTGCATGACGTAATGAATACAGTAAATTTGGTAGTAACAAATGCAACAGTATGATGACATAGCTTGAAATAATCGCCAATAAAATCACTAAATACTTTGATAAATAACCTGGACAGGTATACACAGATATAAATACATAATATATGTACAGTTTTGTCGGAATAGAATATGAAAATGCGGTAGCAATGAACAAAATGTGGGCATGCGTGATCAGCCAGAATTAAATGCTCATAGACTTCATATATCCAATTCAACCACATGAATTAAACAATTGAATGGTGACATGAGGGTATAAGAATAAGAATTGGGATGGATGAGACATGAATAATCCGGATCAGCCTCGTCCTCGTTAGTTCGCGTAATGGTCTTTGTTCTATCAAGGGTTAATTCCATCAATCGGTCCTAGACACTTGCTGTGGCGCTGAAATACAGGCTATTGACAAACTGAAAAGAAAAAGCAACAAAAATTTCGACGAATACAGAAAAAATTTTGAATACAAAAAAATAAAAAAATACAGCAATTTTTCACCTCTTCAAGATATTTAGTCAGGGCTGAGGTCCACGACCATAAATTGTGTTGATTCTTGGTATTTGGGGTCATTGTAGATTGGTGGCTAAAACATATTAACATGTTTTTAGACAAAATACCTACTTTGGCTTCAAAAAACAGGACTTACTCTTTTGAGGTTGACTTTTTGCGGCATTCACACATAGCCATCATTGTACTATGGCAGTTGTGACCTGAATTCAACATTGCTTTTATATTGTGAAAAAAGAAGAGAAAGAAATGGCTACGGAAAGAAACGAAGGAGGCGCAATGACGCAAGAAAGCGTTATTGATCGAAAATGAGCGTCTCTGTGTCACGGGGTCAAAATGATTAGGAACCAGAGGTAGGATAAAAGATATGCAAGACTGATATGAGAAACAAGAGTGATTTTGGATAAAATAAAAGGGAACTTGCTACAAAAAAGCAAAAGATCGCTTACTTGATCTCAAAACAATCTAGAAATAGAAAAAGAGGTGAAACAGCAGAGTAAAAGTAAGGTAATAGACACACAACACTTTATATGAAAAAAAGAACAAACAAAGAGAAACAAGGGGAAACGATTCTGCAAAAGATTCTGCATTTGCGCGCGAAAACAAGCGTCTCTCCTCGCTTACGTGATGCTACAGAAAGTTCATTGCGCGCCGCCTGCACGCACACTGTGTCTGCACGCCGCCTGCGAACATGCATTGCGCGCCGCCTGTTGGCTGAAATCAGTGCGCGCCGCCTGTGCGCTACAGGGCCACGCCCACAAATCACGGCCCGCCGCCTGCCCTGCTGGCCGTGAGTGCGCGCCGCTTGCGCGCAGAATTGTCTGAGAGAGGATCAAGTAGGCGGGTGGCGGGTGCCTAAGGTCCCGCAGCGACTCTGCGTCTCAGCCTTGACGGGGATCGTCGAATTTCAAATTGTAAAGCTTTGGAAAACGCAATGTTCTCGCCGTTTTCGCGCCTTCTACTGTGGATTTTCGGATTCAGCGTTGCAGATAACCCCCGGTAACCACCCTGGATTTTCTAAAAATCGAGTGTTTGCCCGGACACTGCCTTTAAGTCAATTCGACCTGATCCCGATTAAGACAAACTGTATCTTATGCATCAGTCACAACTGCACTGATGATCCTTATCCTATCCAGCATTAGTTTGAAGCAACTCTTTATTCATAGGGAAGCAAAATTCAGTCCCATCGATTCATGCAGGCTGGAGTTTACTAGCTGCATACATTTCCAAACCAACCCAACTTTCTGCTCCATAACACCGGGATAGCTGACAAACTTCATTCTACCAGCATGATACGATTTGTGAAGTATGCATACAATGCGCTGATTTGGCCGTTTGTACACATCTTTAATCTTAGTGGAGATGACTCGTTGTTTGCACATTTTCTGTTTACCCGCACAAACTTGGATTCACGAACAAAACATTTGCTGAGAGCTTAAATTTGCAAAAAAAGATGAAATATGAAAAAAAAGAACGGTTCTATTCAGAGGAAGAACAACAAACAATAGTGCGGAACGCTTGCGACACAAGGTAGGAGGAAAAAACGCAAAATGAGAACACTCACAGCGATGGGGGAGATAAGAAGCATACTTGATGTTATGAAATGTGCGATAACTGTCAGCAAATACAGATTGTATGGAACAAGTCACATAAGGTGACATTTTGGAGCTATGACCAAACAAAATCATACATAAAACAATTCATACAAACTTTTTAAATACACAGAACAATGAATATACAAATCAGAAGATGTCCAGACAAAACTGGAGATCTGAATTTGCTCTCTCGATAAAAACTGGGAGACATATAAAAAGCCACTGCTGAAGCGTCGCTCATGATCCGCGGCCAAACAACTCGGCTCCGAACTCTCGCTCAGTACAGTACTCCTACTAGTCAGCGTTTTGCAGCACAGTACTGGTCGAGATTAGAGTTAGATTTCTCAACCATATGGATTATAAGCTGCCGCTCAGGTAATGAATGTCATTATGTACCCTCCGAGTTCAAAAAAAAAAAGACAGCCAAAATGCCTAGCTGATTTCAGTGTGACAAATGAAGCGATACATCTATAGCAAAGAACAGCATGCTGTTAATTTATACCACATAATAATGTTACACTTAAATAATGATAACTACGCTGCATTAGACAGACCCTACATTTCGAAATCAGTTCGAAAAAATTGATATAAGTCACTCCCTAGCTTCATTTTCCACGTTCTGCTCGTCTTCGCTATCAGTCTGAACGTCTTCCTCGTCGTCAATGCCATCGTCTTCATTATGTTCGTCATCTTCTTCAATCTCTTCCATTTTGATTTCTATACTCTCTTGGACTTCTTCATGGTCGTGCTCATCCTCCTCATTCTCATCATGTCCATCATGATCTTCTTCATCTCCTTGTTCGAAGTGATCAATTTCTTCTTGTTTTATCTCATCTCCGCCATGTTCTTCTTCAGCGTGCTCGTCCTCTTCTTCCGTTTTTATCTCCTGCTTCACTTCGCTGTTGCTACAGCAAGCATGTCCTCCATGATTATGTTCGTGCTTGTCGTGCTCATGGTCAGAGCTATCTGCGTCAGATTCTGATTGTTGCTCCTTTTTGCTCTTGGCGGTACCATTCAATTTGGCAATGAGGTCTGAAAAAGCTTTTGTGCTATGGAATCGGAAACGGCCAAAGCAATTATGACTGCAGTAAAGAATTGAAAAAACTGCGCAGAAACGTAAAGGTTTTTTTGGCGCAAGTGAGGTGAATAGCCTCAGTTTTGGCATGAATAAGACTTGAGTAAGAATTCGACGAAACGGAAACTGTGTCACGCCACGACGAAAAACAAGAGATTAAGTATAATCCATGCTACGATCGATAATGGTAAGATAAGTATATCATACGCTTACTGTCAGTCATTGTTACATGCTGAAAACACCATATAATTGATCAAATGCTGTTGAGTAATATCCACCCAGAAACCAAAAAAATGAAAAGTGCAACCTAACCGCCTCCGCATGCTTTCTTCACTTCAACAGAGGGTTTGAAATGAGGTAAAACACGAGTACTAACTTATCATGTGCAACGGAGCTTTAAAGTACGTGAATGAAAGATGATTTGTAGGTATCATGTGATTTCAATCGACTACAGCAAGCAAAAGCGATTACCTTTAGCTATGTTGAAGACTCCTCCAGTATTTTCGTTGCATATCCGACATCGCTTTGATTTTCTGAATGCGCTGAGAGCACAAGCTTCACAGAAGTAATGCTTACACCTAAATTGAAAACTCGAGCATCTGGTAAAAATCCGATGAATACTATGTTTACCGCGTAACTACGGGCGCAGTGAATGGTTTCATACATATGTAGCACTCTTCAGGGAACTCGTCATCATTTTCATTGATTTCATAGTTAGTTTCATCGATCTAAATTTTCTCTGTTAAAACGAACAAGCGAAACTTCAACAAGCATAAACTCTAGAGACTAGCGTACCTGATTTAGTTTCCCTGCCTCATAATCACGTTCAATCTCCCAACCGTGCTTATAGTCAGAGCGATCGTGCAAGAATTTGCAAGAGTCTAAAAAGAACACTCTTGAATATACCGATACGCGGAAAATGAGCAAAAGCACACACTTCAACACTTACCGCCGAATGTACAAAAACCAGTTTCTTTGTAATCTTTGCAAATGTCTGGCGCATAGTCCCAACGGACCGTTTGACGAACGAATTGTGGAGCCCGAATGGGACCTATATCACGAATTTTAGAATGTCGCATCTATGGAAAGCACAGAGATAAAGGATCACAAAATGAGGAACTCTCTGAAACAAAACGCACCTATCCTGTTGAGTCCACTACTAGCGTTTCCTTTAGCAGTATCCTTCGCTTCTTTAGCACCGTACATTGCCTGTCCCTTGTATAAAGTTTTGCCGTCCTGAAAAACAAACAAGTAAGCTTCCAAAGACATTGCTGTACAATAGTATATCCCTAGAAAGCTTCAATGTACCTTGACCAAACCCTCTTTCAGTTGCTGTTGGACTCTCTCAAATTGTGCCTGAGCATCAACTTCAATGTCGGTATCGATATTGTGGGTGGCAGTTGCTCCTGAATGAGAAGTTGACTTTACAATTATTGAACGCAATTATGGTAGCAGTGAGAAAAACCCAAACAATTACATAGTAAAATTATAAAATCCAAAAATCAACATCAGCGGCACTTTATGGGTAAATTGCGCGAAAAATTAGCCACGTCAGACGAGGTCATCAACATCGTGACCCCAAATAAAAATTAATAAAAAAGTACTGGAAGACAATAAAATCGAGAAGAGATAGTAATCTGAAAAGCTAAATAACGGATCACTTTTTTTGCTGATGATTAATATTAGGATAATTACCTTGATCCCGCGGTCCTAATGGTTCAGCACTTCCACTTGCAGCAAATGCATCTTCTGCCAAAACTGTGCTAGCTTCATCCGAATCACTTGACGAATTCGCTTTGTTCGCGTCGTTTTTGGATTTCAAAGTCTGAAATGTCAACATCTAAGGTGACTGACAAGCTGTCACAACACAAAATGATATGCAATACAAAAAACGGAAACATGTAGATGCATAACTCACAGACTGCTGGAATGGATTTGCTCGCTTCCTTCTTTTAAAATCTTTCACAACGTCAGTTCCATCATCATCACCAGACAAATCATCTTCACCTCTTTGGCGGACCTTAAATTCTCTAATCGAAGGTGAACTTAATTTGATACGTCGAAGCAAGGGAGAAACAAGATATAATGGACACACAACTGAAGATGTTCTTACCTGAATCTGTGCACGTTTCTTCGCTGGTTTACGAAACATCTTAAGAAGTTTAGATCTGCTCCCAGATGCTTACAACAAACGATAGACGATGAGGAAATGTTCAACCACCTGACAAATTCGCAATTCCTGAGCTGAAAATAACGTGCTCTAGTAAACCTGCGACTGCAAACCTTTAATCAACCGTAGTCCACATCAGCTGATATAGCGAACTGCACGAAAACATGGTCTTTGTTGTCTCTAAAGAGGTTTCTTGCTTTCTTGTTTTCTTCTAAACATTGTGATTTGGGTTCTCCCGAATTTAGACATTGGGTCATGTTTGTCTCTGATGATTGCGCTTCATTTGTATAGTGTTTCAGTCCCTGATGATGTGACTTTTGCTGTTCTTTTGTTGAGGATGAGGTAGTTTTTTAGGTACATGTTTTTTTTGATATCATCGCTATTTCCAGAAGTGTAGTGGCTACTAGTATAACCAACCACCGGCACCAGAATACTAAAAACAGTCCAAGAAGCATAGATTTCTCAAAATTATCTCCTTTCTTCGTTCTTTCTCCTGAATAGGAAAAGAGCTATACCAGGGTTGTGAGAATCTATGTATCAATGGGATGCGTACTCTAGCATGCTCAGTGACTTTTTATGATTAGTTCGAAGTAGATAGGCATTGATTTGTTCGGGTACCGCTTTTTTGACTTGGGTAGGTTCGGTATTTTGGATTGGCGTACTTTCAGCTACTCAGTTGTCGTAGCAGCCATCGCATGGATCTTACGATTAGTTCATCAAAAAATCTATACTTACGAATTTCCTCGATCTCTAGAAGATCTCGGAAAGTTACTTGTTCTCTTTTGGCTTATTAGGTCCATATTTTGACTAACAATAAGATGAGTTACTGCATAATCTGAAGCTCCAAGGACTTCTTCGGGTGTGCACTTTGAAAAAGAGACACTCGAAAGAAGTGAGGGAAATTTTAGTTCACAATAGTAGACACTTCCACTTCCTTGACTTGTTCACATTATTTTTCTTGAATCGCATAGGGTTGTTTTGCTACGTGCAGTTACGATTTTGACAATTTCCATTTTTTCCAATTCCAGTTCGTTCTACACTAGCACTTTACACTGCTTTCTTGCGTGACCAAGAGATTCAAGTTCTTCTTGTAGGTCTAATGGTCTAGGTTTCTCACCTGAGCATAGAGTTTGTGTCATCTTTATTGTGTAAGTGTACCAAAGTAGGAGAGAGCAACTGGCTAGATGGGCAAACTCAGCCCTGAGCAACCATTTTGGCCCAGTTACATCCTGATGGTTCTACCTCATTCGGTAAGAAGGGTTATGACGAGGTTATGATCAGTACTGTCTCGCTGTAGCTTGTCTATAGAATCTCTTTCATATAGCAGGTGAAAGTGAGATTTAGTTCTTTGGTGCGCTGTATCTGATTCTGGTTTTCACTGGCTCGATGTTATCGTAGGCAAGGGCTAATGCAGATAATTGAGATGTAGCAGCCAACTTTTATTTTCATTATCTTCATTGGTTGTATTATAATTGATGATTATCTAGTGAACTGCTTCCGGTATCTGATTGTAAGTAACGCTAAAAATCTGTAATTTTGTACAACATCTACTCATCTGTACTTTTGCAACCGGTTCGCATCAAATGCGTGCACATCATGCATTGCGACAAGATTCGTTGCTGAGTGTACTTTGATCATCTCATGGAAAGCTCGCTTGTCAATCACATTTGTTTTTCAGCTAGCTATGAACTATACAGTCGACGATCAATATCATAACAATGAGATTGGGACGTGGAATTCTTTGAAAATATAGAACATTCACCCTAATCCACTATATAGGTTTACGTCCCTATCCTTCCGTCCTAAATGAATTCCTTGCTCAGTTTTGTTCGAATTAGGGGAATGAGATTTTCTATTCTGACTGAAATTGTACGAGTCGTTGATGCAGATCATGAGATTGCGTTCACTGGGGCGGCTCGACTCCATATTCTTGAGGTGAGGGGGGGGGGGGGGCAGACCATGTGGGCTGGTTACGCAGAAACTTTTGTCCCTCTACCAGCAAACCCCAAAATATCTTCTATGCTGTATATTTTGGGTTGCAATGTGTTTGTTGGGCACGCGCCATACTCGATCCGCTCAATCCACTTGGTCCACTTGATCCGCTTCGTCATTGGCCAGTTCAGTGAACTGACCAATAGTGAAGTGGATCAACCGGATTACGTGGACAAACGCTTCGTTCTGTTCACCGAATTGACTAATGGCGAAGATCAAGTATGGTGCGTGACTTATTCTTCATCGTTTCTCATAACTGTTGCGGAAACTTCATCAACTTGTTGTCAATTTCTGTAACATTCAGGTTGCTATGCTGTTACATTCGTAATCACAGTAACAAGCAAAACTGAATTATAGGTAAGTTGTAACAGAGTGTGCTCTTTCTCATTACTTGAGCTCAACTTGCATTTCCCTCCTTTGAAAGTTTCACCAGCGCAGGGAGAGGAGCGAGGGGTGCAGATTTGCTGATTACTTGTTTTTTGCGACAATGTTATATTTTGTAACGATAGCATGCATCGCTCGAGGAAATATATCTTTTCGCATCAAATTTTGTATTGTATAATATCCTCAATGTGCATGGCCTGCCAAGCTTCTGCTTTTATTTACCATTTTTGCATGGATAATTTAGACAACATCTGTCAACTTTTCATACTGTGCGAGATGCACTCTTATGGCAGTTTTGCACTTTTCTATCGCTTAGCATTTTTCCGAGCAGTCTAGACTTTGCCCAAATTCACTCATTCAAAACTAGACCGTCATTTCTATTTTTTTTGTTTTTTTCCTGTGGCGCATTCTACCGCTTCCGCCTTTCGTATAAACCTGCCTTTTGCATAGTCATCGCAGAAATTCAAGAGATGATTGCGACTTTTACAGACTGCGATGCCTGTGAAGGCATCGACGTCTACTCTGAAATGGGTTCGCGAAGAGGGCGCACCAATACTCACTGGCCTTCGTCTTTTGGTCCAAAGTCAGCTTGGATATGAAGGACGGAAAGTTACGGAAAACCTCAGCCAAAACGTCCTCAAGACCGTGGTTGGCGCTGGTGCATCCGTTGGCGATCCTTCACACCCGAGGCAGACATCGGCATTCAGCTTCGTTGGTGACACGGTGACTGATGCTGTGCAAAGAACGAGCGCAGTGGCGGCCGGAATTAGAACTTATGCAGATCTGTTGCTGAAAGGGATTACGCCCGGCACTGGCGGCCACACAGTTTCACCAGGCGGCGAGAAAACTTTCGGTTTTAAAAACTCCGGTCTTAGTTTCGACGTCATCTCAGGCCTTGGAAAAGTGGCCGAACTAATCTCGAAAGGTGCCATTCAACTGCCGAGCCATCCCTTGCCGACTCTGCAAAAACTTGGCCAAGAATCAATGGAGGAGCCCATGTTCAAGGAAACCGACTTTACGAATCAGAAGTATCTCCGTCAGGAAGATAACAGCGACGAAGCTCAAGCTCTAGAGGGCCTTACTGCCGAAGAGAGGGAATTCCTGATGAAAGCCGCTCAATCGGTAGAGGAGGTGGACCCAATTGTGGAAACTCCTCCACCTGTGGATGCAGATCTGGGGATTCCACCACCTAAACCAAAAGGTGCTGCTGTCATACCTCCAAAGAAAGATGCTAATGTCATGCCACCAACTCCTGGTCGTATGAGTGCGCATGAGGGAGTTTGGTCGGTACATCGAGAATCCGGGGCGACTATGGGTTTCCCTCCAAGAGTGGACGCGCCTAGAAAAACCCCTGCAAAAGTGAGGATGACTAGGGAGGTTACCCAGAAGGCGAAAGAGAGGGTTTATCGACCTTCACTTCCTTCAGACTATAAAGTGGAAGCTGAAGATCTTGCGGAAAGCCTGTCGAAGAGTAAAGAAAGGAAGGTACCGTCTTCAAGGCTAGGCCGGTTGGTGATTTCTTTTTCTTTTTGTCTTTGAGCTTTTATTTTCTTTATTTAACTAATTTTCTAAGGTATGTCAGTTTTTATACAGTATGACCTCGAACTGGGTTATTTTAGCCTTGCTTCGTTCGGACAATTAGCCCTGGGTTTGGCAGGAGGGGCTGCTGCTGAAGTAACTCGACGCACTTTTGGAAGTCCTAAGGTGGAAGGAATGCCATCAAACCCATTCTTGTCTAACGCGAATGCTGACCGGATAGTTCAAACTCTTTGTCGAGTGCGTTCCTTTTCTATTTTTTTAATTAGTGACCTCCGCTTTAAGGACTTCTCCTTCCATTTTTTTCTTGATCAGGTACGAGGAGCTGCTCTCAAACTTGGACAGATGCTCAGTATTCAAGACCCAGATACTATTCCCCCACACTTGTTAGAGATATTTGAGCGGGTCAGGCATAGCGCCGATTTCATGCCGTTAAATCAAGTAGGACCACTGTTTGTATAGATGGTTAGGATCGTGAAGATTAATGCTAGGTGGAACGGCAAATGGTGACTTCGTTTGGGACAGACTGGAGATCAAAGTTTGCTACTTTTGAGGATCGTCCATTCGCTGCAGCCTCTATTGGTCAGGTGAATGACGTACTTCATTTTCTTTTTGACGACCATCTTTAGAAAATCCGATCGTATTGTTTTACTGTCATTCTTGCAATTTAAGCTGATTTGCAGGTGCACAAAGCTACCCTTCCAGATGGCAGAAAAGTAGCCGTCAAGATTCAGTATCCTGGTGTGGCAGAAGGTGAAAGAGTTGGAATCTTGATGCATCCAACGCTAGATTGTTTTCAGGAATCGATTCCGATATCGACAACATGGTTTCCGTTTTGTCGATTGCAAATGTCTTCCCAAAGGGAATGTACTTGGATAAATTTGTCGAGGTAATAAATTCGAAGCTTAGGAAATTTTTTACAATCTTTGGAATCAAATTCAGGTTATTCGTAAAGAACTGGCCATGGAGTGTGATTATCTGAGAGAAGCACGCGCTACAAAAAAGTTCCGAGAGTTACTAGCTGGATCAAAGGATTTCTACATACCGGAGGTGGTTCTTCTTTTCATGGTTTTAGAAACTGTTTTATTCGATTTCTTTGAGTTATTGTTTGACTTTGAATGTGGAATTGTGGCCTTATCTTTTTTTTTAACTTCTAACACTTCATTGATTGACAAAAACTGCTTTTTCCTTATAACTTGTTGCAAATCATGTTCGTTATTTTTAGGTTATGGATGATTTCACTACAAATCGAGTCTTGACAGCCGAGTTTGTATCTGGAAAACCTGTTGACAAATGTCTGAACGAACCACAGGTTGTTCGCGATTATATCGCTGCAAAGTTCATCGAATTGTGTCTTCACGAGGTGCTGTAGTATACTTTCTACTTCAAATGTTGCGATCTATGCGCACTTTTCTAGATCTTTATTTGGAGATTCATGCAAACAGATCCAAATTGGTCGAACTTTTTCCTTGGAGTACATCCTTCGACAGGTGGGGAGTTGTTGATGAGTTTCGCTCTCTCATTTTTAGGTATATTTCAAGGCGAACCTCGAATGGTACTATTGGATTTCGGTGCATCTCGATCGTACAGAAAAAAGTTCGTTGATAGATATATGAAAGTCATCAAGGCTGCATCCGATGGTGATAAGCAGAAGATCATTGAGTAAGGCAGTTTGTTGTTTTATCATGATTTGTGCCATAATTGTGCTTCATATCTCGGAAACTTGCACGTGATAATGTCTGTCTGTTTTATTGTCGTTTCTTATCACTCTTTTCGAAGTAGTTTCAAAAATTGTCCCATTCTGACTACAATTCTTCTTCTTTCCCTTCTGTTTTCAGTTTTGTATTTAAGTTATTCCAAAGAAATCGGATTCTTGACGGGATACGAAACGGAAGTCATGAAGAGAGCACATGTCGAATCGGTACTGATCTTGGGAGAAACTCTGGCGAACAGTAAGCCGTACGACTTTTCACGTCAGAACATCACTAAGCGAGTGCATGCTCTGATTCCGATCATGCTGGAGCATAGGTAAGTTTCGCATGCGGTTTCTCATGACTTGAGCATCTGTTGACTTTTTTTTGCTTAGATTGACGTCACCTCCTGAAGAAATCTATTCCCTCCATCGCAAGCTCTCTGGCTCCTACCTCTTGGCTACGAAGCTAAAGGCTGTCGTGTCGTGCGGTGCATTCTTTGACGAGATGTACGCAAACTATAGATTTGGCGAGGATGGCAAGGACATCGACATCGACTCACCTGCGGCTGTCTCAGAGGAGTCGAAACAATAAGTGCCTCCAGTTGCCGTGGTTACCTATTTATATAGTTGTTACGATCGTTTTAGGTAGATTATGCAGATGTTTGTACATTGTTAATACTTCTTATAGATTTATATAGGAGTTCTTATCACGTTTCTTATTTCATACTTATACCTACACACTGTTCTTTCATAATTTTACCTTTGCCGTTCGCATCTTTGCAGTACAGGGGTTGTTGAAAGAGAGTGATTTTCTAGTGCAAGCTCAAGTTGTTTTTGTTTTTACATAGTGTATATTTGTAAGAATGTCGTTACAAAGTTTTAATGATAGTGTTTAGTCAATTTCTGTTAAGGATGATCCTTTCATACTTTTTGCTCGAATATGACTTCATGTTTTCATCTGCTATTTCCTCGAAATTCAGGGCATAGATGGTAGTGTCATTGAGGTGCAACTACGATTTCACGCAGAAGGCTCTGCAAGCGCTCAATTTCTTCTATGTGGTGAGTTTACTCGAAAATTCTATCTCATTTTTGTTCTTACAGTCATCTTTCGAAAATTCCTTGCTTATAGGCTGTTGGTGTGCTTCTCATATGCACTAGCGCTTATGCTAAATCTGCCTCTATAGTCACTTCTGTTTCCGTTCTAGGTCGGCGAGTCTTTTCATGCTTGCAATTTTTGCGCAAGGCCTCTGTCGACGCTCACATTTTTGCATGTTGTTTAGGAGGTATCATTGCCGCTGGTGTGTTTTTGATCATGGTGGCACTGCTAGGAATGTATGGCACGAAACATCAGCACCAAGTAGCGTTGTTTTTTGTAAGTGAATTTTAATAGTGCTTTTGATTTTCCATTCAGTTTTTTTATCATTAATTTTTGGATTCATGTTATTATGTGGATGTTTAGTACATGGTTATCTTGTCATGCGTGTTCATAATCCAGTTTATTGTGGCTGTCGTCTGCCTTGGAAATGTTTCTGAAGACAGCCTAGAAGAGGTAGCTAAGAGAATTTGCATTTTCTTTGCTAATTTTCTTTTTCCAACTTGTGTCTCCGTATAAATTTTTTTTGCTGCAGCTAGTTACTACGGGGTGGACCAAGTCGGATAGTGCTGTGAAATGGGATGCTCAAAAGGCGTTCAGTTGTTGTGGTTTGGATCTTGCGGATATGCACAGGCAGGACTGCAGTAAAGTCAGTTTTTTAGGCATTTTTTTTCAAACTTACCCTCAGTCCTACCTTTGCTTTCCGATTTTACTTCTTAACTCAGTCACTCTCGTTGAATTATTGAATTTTGCTACTCGAGCGTTTGGCAAGATCTCATTAATATAGTTTTTCCTTAGCTTCCATGTTGGAACCGTTGTGAGCCGTGCCTCCCTGTCATCGTTGACGTGACAAGCAATAATCTTTCACGAGTCGGCCTGCTTGGTCTCTTCTTCAGTTTCAGTGAGGTAGGTCAAAAAGATCACGAGGGCTTTTTTTGTTCTCCCAAACAAAATTTTGTAGCTCATCGGTGTATGGCTAACTTATCAATTCCGAAACACAAGGGATCCTAACATTGATCCTGATGCCCTGTTTCTCTGATCTTTGATTACAAACTATGACACTTGTCGCATTGACCAGTTGATGTTTGATTTCTCGGTTGTTTCTTTCACCAGCTGTTGTGCAAACAATACTTGTTCGTTCTTCATGTATTGTCCCACGCTGAGGGACTAAAGTTTTCTCAGCTCATTATTACAGGGTTTTATGCAGAGTTACCGATTCACTATATGTTTTTTTTTTGCTTTTGCGCAGTTTTATCGGAAATCAAGAAGAATTATTCGCATAATATTTTTGCCTTAAACATGCACATAGCTTGTTGTATGTAGATCTTGTGATTAGCCCATACTATCCACCACTGTGTTATTTGTTCGTCTGTGTTATTTGTCAGCTATCCGGTGTACATTACGGTTTTGAAGTGATATACCGACTTTGGCGTGATACACTATGAGTGTTGTTGTAATTATACAAATTAGCTCATACGTTATTCGGAAATGACCAGAATTACCGATTTTTGTGTAATTCATTATCTTCACAATACTCTATGAAAGGTTAGAGTGATTGAAATAAAATGGTTGTTTGTTGATGTCTTTCTTCTCTAAGAAGGATTGATCCACAAGCCTTGCTGATGCCTTTCTTTTCCAAGAAGGATTAATTCACAAGCCTTGATTTTTTTTCGTTTTTTTCGCAAATCTATTTTGTTATCAAAAAGAAAAACTCAGGGATGTTACCGGATCTCTCCCCTCACTTGCATACAAAAGAATGTAATTTCCTCATAGAACTTCTCAAGCAATGTAATCGAGAGAAATATATTGGTAAGTAGTCCCTCTACCAAAGTTCCAAATCCTTTCTGGGCGGAGTCGCGAACCGCGTGCTGCTGCGATCCCTTAGTACTAGAGCAAGCTTATTCGTTCGTACCCAAATAGCGGTCATGACTTCACCTAGAATGATTCTGGATTGGAACATAAATTACCAATGGGTCTTTTTAGGTAAATATTTTGGAAAATGCTCGTATTGGGACGAAGCTGTTTGGCAATGTACCAAAAAGGAGCGAATATGGCGAAGGTAAAGTAAGGACTGCAGCCAAAGTTCCAAGAGTAATGATAGTGTGTTTAGGGACCACAATCCGCGCTATTCACGGCGAGTCATAGAATTGCGTAACCTACCAGAGGATTACTGGACGCCAACTTTGCACAAATTGAAGACGGACGGTGTTATGCCTGATTTAACGCAGTCCGAAGGATGCCGATTATGATTTTCAGGTCATCACCTGAAACCTAGTGTTTTAGTGACAAATGTAGGAAATAGGTCTGCTCAAGTAAGTCAATCTGACGGTGAGATGTTCTTGCGCTGTCAACAACACCCGCGCGTAAAACTTGGCTATGGATCGCGGAATTAATAAATTTGAGCTCTATCATAACTATCATGCACAAGCGCTGTACCTCAAAGATATAACAGTTTCTCCGCACAAATGTTGTCGGTATCGCAAGGGCACTAACCGTCGAATTTAATAGACTACAATCCTAGAATATTCAATTGTTGCGCTGAATTGCCTTTGTACACGCTATGAAAAATATTGTCTCTTCTCATGCTATTAGGACAACGTCAAAAAGTGCATGAAGGGCACTTTCGATAGAGCAAAGCAAATTTTACAGGATATCATCACACATTCGCATAAATCTTGATCCACTGATCGAAACCGAAACTATTACGAACCAAATTAGTTGATTACACCAAAATGGATTCCCGCTTGAAAAATTTGCTCAAATGTCAGCATATCGTGACATATAGGGACAATATAAATGAACTTGCTGAATTTTTTTGCGGTCAGAAATCAAGAAAGAGTTTTTTTATTATAAGGACACGTGGTTGGGTGTTGGTGTGGTTTCCACCTTGTACCTTCGAAGCTTTGGAGTACACAGTCATATAGTTTAGGTTAGGAATTGGTTCGTCGATTCAAGCTAACCATTTTCACTGATTTTTGTACATTTTAGCACCAAAATCGCAGCCTTAAAACTTCATGAAACTCCATACTTGGGCGCGTAGTGAAAATGAACTAATGGTGCATTTACTATAGTGTCCAAGTAGAAGTTTTGTAGGGTTTTTCTGAGCAGAGAATCGATTTTTGCGATATGCAAATTCGACTTGTACTGATACTAATGGCTGTCCTGTTTAGTTTACTTTGCTCTATCGAGTGGTGTCTCTTGTCTTTGTTATTCTCTGTGCGTAGCATGAGAAGCGACATTATCCCCCTCCCCCACCCACCTTATAGAATCTAGCGATTGTTAGTAATTTTATCTTGGGCGGTACCATCAATCCTCCGATCTCTTAACCGGCGCTTTGAACTGTTGACTGCTACAAATGAGCTCTAATGGTCGCACAGTTTATATTCGAAACGTCGCCCTCATTGGAAGATTGATGGGTACCGTTCCGTACTCTGCTCTTTAACATTGTGTTGAATAATCAGATATAGGTTATGCTGATTTGTTGCGTGCCGATGCGTTTAGCTGTTTCTTCCGGATATTCATTATATGTCTCTCATGGGGACAACATTCCTCACCTCAAAAAACATACTTGATTACCTCTTTCTTATCACATTGTTTGTTAATCAATGGACCAATATTGCCTCGATTTGATCAATTTCTTATTTGGCGAAACATCACAATGAAGATTCTGTCTTAGCTTGCTTGATACATTACCATTCGCGCTGTTATTTCTGCAAATTTTAGTAGATCAGATTCAATCTCAACTTGATCCAATTTGTACGCGTATCTAGATTTGCAGTAAAGAGTGCACGCACAGGAGCGGAATTGGGTAATTTTCCATCATCCGGACCTATTTTCAAAAAAAGCTCTCATAAAACATGTTTTTGGCCTAAGAACAATTTTTCATGGATTTCAGGAGGACTGCTTCCCTGCAACGTGTCAGGAATATTGATAAGTTCTGGTCCATTTTGACATGTTTTTTTTTTCGAAATTCCGGTGAGGCAAAAGAGCACTTGTGATCATCTAAAAGCTATTTAATTGTTTTCTATGAGAGCAAAACAATCTAGAACTTATATTAGAACATATTTATTGTTCTTAGCAATGTCTTTCTCTTCAAAATTTTTGCCATGCGAATTTAGCCAGACAAGAGTAGATGATGGCTTGAAGTTCCTCGCTACTCTTGTTTCGTCACTTAGATAATGGGACCTTAGCCCGCTTCTCTATTCTGGGCACGTCTAATCTGCTAATTAATAAAATAATGATGTTATCATGATAACAACGTTCGTTTTTGATACTGTTAAATCGAGAATGTGGCTATTGACTAAAAAACAAAGGGCAACTCAAACTCTTGGTTAAACCTGTTAAACCTGTTAAACATGTAGATGACATGTCAGTTTTTTGACACGTGACAGGAAGGTTGACACTCTTTTCTGTGAAGTTGGGACCAGATATGTTACAAGAGAAGACGCAATGCCTTCTTTTCAAAAAAATTGGCCCGGATAACGGAAAAGTACGCGGAATTATTTTACTGGGGAATTGAGATAGTTGAAGCAAAAATCAAATTGGCTCAGTAGACTTTATTATCCGGATTACACATTTGTGAGGAATTGGAGCTACTTAAATGGCTACTACCTCTCCTCATCGGAAAGAAATTGTTACACTCTCCCCTACCTTCTCCACTAATGGTCCTAGGAATTTTTGTGTAGAGGGGTGAGTGAATAGAACTTCTTTTTTTTTTTTGAAAAGGCTGTGGCCATAGACGCGTCTCCCAAATTTTTCGCCAAGCCATTTTTTTTTTCAAAAAATTTTAGGAAAAGGCTGTTGTATTTCTGTGGTCGCAGGTTTTTTTTTGAGTGTAACTCCAAGACTGATAACAGTTTTTTATTGCGGAATACGTTTCGGCATCATCGCCTTGTCAGAGCTGGCAAGTAAAGTCATAGCAAATCATTCCTACAGACCTCAGGAAATGACTTACAGGGAAAGTTCGGTCGAAGTGGCGTTGGAAGGTGATGTATACTTATGGATAGAGCTTTGGACGCTGATGTTAGATACACCTCCTATATCTCAGATACGCTCCTCAAAAAAAGCTGTAAACTTTTCTTATGCCACATTTTCGTGCATTTTTAGTTGTAAAATCACGATAGTTTACACAGAAAAATATGCAGGCTCAGGCAAGCACCTAATAAGCTTGTAGGTCAGTAAGCGTAGCGCCGCGGAAGCTGCTGTCTGACTCATAGACGAACGCAATATCAGCATAACATTTTATCAGTTACTAGCTGGCTTACCCGGCTCCGCCGTATCCGGACCAAACTTGGCACACATACACTTCGGGCCCCGGCAAGTGTCACAGTCCACTTTTCGTTATCGATCGATGTCGATTTTACCGATTTTTATCGATTTTTTTGCAGAGTTCACCTACAGGGCTAGGAGTTGGCACAGAGGGGGGGGGAAGTGAGCATGGGGATTCCGAATACAACATTAGTTTTCAGGATCGTCCATTACTTTTATCGATTTTATCGATTTTTTTTGTAAAGTTTGACCTGCGGGGCTGGGAGTTTGCACAGGGGGGTAATCGAGCATGCTGATTACGAACACAATATTAGTTTTCAGGATCGTCCATTACTTTTATCGATTTTATCGATTTTTTTTGTAAAGTTTGACCTGCGGGGCTGGGAGTTTGCACAGGGGGTAATCGAGCATGCTGATTACGAACACAATATTAGTTTTCAGGATCGTCCATTACTTTTATCGATTTTATCGATTTTTTTTGTAAAGTTTGACCTGCGGGGCTGGGAGTTTGCACAGGGGGTAATCGAGCATGCTGATTACGAACACAATATTAGTTTTCAGGATCGTCCATTACTTTTATCGATTTTATCGATTTTTTTTGTAAAGTTTGACCTGCGGGGCTGGGAGTTTGCACAGGGGGTAATCGAGCATGCTGATTACGAACACAATATTAGTTTTCAGGATCGTCCATTACTTTTATCGATTTTATCGATTTTTTTTGTAAAGTTTGACCTGCGGGGCTGGGAGTTTGCACAGGGGGGTAATCGAGCATGCAGATTACGAACACAATATTAGTTTTCAGGATCGTCCATTACTTTTTCGATTTTATCGATTTTTTGAAAATTTGAGCTAGGGGGCTGGAATTTGGCACAGGAGTGTAATCGAGCCGTTTACCCCCCTGTGCCAACTCCCAGCCCCCTAGCTCAAATTTTCAAAAAATCGATAAAATCGAAAAAGTAATGGACGATCCTGAAAACTAATATTGTGTTCGTAATCTGCATGCTCGATTACCCCCCTGTGCAAACTCCCAGCCCCGCAGGTCAAACTTTACAAAAAAAATCGATAAAATCGATAAAAGTAATCGATAATCCTGAAAACCAATATTGTATTCGGAATCCCCATGCTCGATTACCCCCCTGTGCGAACTCCCAGCCCCGTAGCTCAAACTTTGCAAAAAAATCGATGAAATCGATAAAAGTAATCGATAATCCTGAAAACCAATATTGTATTCGGAATCCCCATGCTCGATTACCACCCTGTGCCAACTCCCAGCCCCGTAGCTCAAACTTTGCAAAAAAATCGATGAAATCGATAAAAGTAATCGATAATCCCGAAAACCAATATTGTATTCGGAATCCCCATGCTCGATTACCCCCATGTGCCAACTCCCAGCCCCGTAGGTGAGCTCAGCAAAAAAATCGATAAAAATCGATAAAATCGATATCGATCGATGACGAAAAGTAGCCTATGACACCCGCCGGGGCCCGTAGTGTATGTGTGCCAAGTTTGGTCCGGATCGGTTCAGAAATGGAATTTTCTATTCGGAACATACGTACACACAGACAGACAGACAGACATACAGACAGACAAACAGACATTCAGCTTTATATATAAGATAACGAGGCACGGATGGAGGGACAAAGGTAAGTCCGGATCGTGTAGTGGAAGGGGATACTGGTTGACGCGTCGGCGGGAGGACCGTTGGAGACATGGAGACCTAGAGAGACGGGCAGGTCATAGGACTGTGGAAGCTCGACAGTGGACTTGTCAGCGGATGCTCGCGGTGGTAGATTATATACCGCACTGCAGAATGCATATCGTCTTCATATCTGTGACAGTTGATCTTATTCTCATAACATACTTTGCCTTTATCTAAGCTTTGTAAGTCGTTCTCATAACATAGCTTCTCGCTTGCACATCTTCACGCATGTACGCTTATAGGTCTAGCCTGATATCATCTGAAGGTTTTTAAGTGTTGTCCATCCATGTTGTAATTCACGGGTCGTCATTTTCCTTCTAGACCGCATTCCATCAAAGATTCAAAAAACCCATTACTTCCTATAGAAAAACGCTCCTCAGATATGGAAGCCGTATTTGAGGCATAGGTGCAATAAGGTGAGAATGACTCCTCCAGGGTGAAGGGGGTCACAGTGGTCGCAGCTTCTCTAGAGTGAAGGGTGTTTTACTTGGTAGGGAAATTATGAAATGTCGACCGGGGGGGGGGGCTGTGTTCTCTCATCATTCCCCAGAAATCTTTAGGACAACCCTTCACCCAGGCACTTTTTTGGATGGATCTCAGACATACTATATGTCAACTGAAAACGGAGGACGAGACTGTTTTGATGGCCACTTATCCGTACCAGCTATTTACTTACAAAATGTACGATTCTTTTAATTTGAAAACCCCTAAGTGTCCAGAAATCAAGCACGCCTTTTATTGGGCACTTCTATGACGGACTTTAGGCAAACAATTTATTCCCTGAAACCAGATGAAAACGTTGTACCACGGAACTTTCCTCGCTGACGTTGCTGTGCAGCTACGGAAGCTACTATTTTTTCCCTCCTGGAAGTTCGTGAATGCCTATAAATCTTCTTCCTCCTTTCCGATGCGCAAACAATTCCCGTACAAATATCTCCTTTGCTTAACCTTACCTCACTGTTGATTTCTTCTCGGCCTTTGGTGAAGGGGGTCACCTTGGTCTCGGCTCAGGGGTGAAGGGGGGGGGGGGGGGGTTGAGCAAATTCTCACACTATCGCACCTATGCTGCTACCCATGGTCATTTTTCACGAGCAAATGTTGTTGGCAGTGCAAGAGTGCTGTGCTATACGCCGAAATCCGTCAGACTGTACAAATTGTTTGCTTGCTGCAAAAATAACTAGCGTTCTTTATTTATTACTAGCTGGCAAACCCGGCTCCGCCCGGCCCTGTCAATAACATATTTGTAATCAGCATGCTTGATTACCCCCCTGTGCCAACTCCCAGCCCTGTAGCTCAAATTTTGCAAAAAATCGATAAAATCGATATCGATCGATACGAAAAGTAGCCTATGACACGCTCCCCGCCCCGTAGTGTATGGTGCCAAGTTTGGTCCAAATCGGTTCAGAAATAAAAATTTCTATTCCGCACATACGTACAGACAGACAGACATACAGACATACAGACATACAGACATTCAGCTTTATATATAAGATTGATTCCATGCTTATTTTCAATAGCTCATTACTTCTGCATCAACCTAGGTATCTCTGCTAGCTATCGCGAGCAAAGGGCAAGTTTGGTGCAAAGAAGCAACACATAAACCAAACGATAGTAGAAGAAAATTTTAAGAAAAAATTATCTGAGCAACGAGTTGAAGAAGTGCGCTCGACATTTGCAAATCTGCTGAGATGAACACTCACGTAAGGTGACCAATGCGGATATGCTGGAATCTGGAAACAGTCAAAGAACGAAGTCAAGCGAAGGAAAGAACGAAGTCAAGCGAAGCACATCCATGGGCCGTGTCTTTCACAGCTGCTTTTGTGCTCGATGGAACCAACGCGTTGACGAGGTTTATGCGGAGATGATCTTATAGTTGGACTGGAATTTGTAAGTTGTTGCTTGCCTTCGAACACAGATGTTGACGAAGCTTTGATCGAAATGTTTGCCGCGGTCGGTGATGTTTCGAGCGACGGTCTCGTGTGACCAAGGAAAGCCTTGAGGGGTTGTGATCAGCAATTTTTATGGGCTGGAGTCTCGATCAATCGAATTTGAGCTCGGAAAGAAGAGGCACCTACAGCTGTGCGATGGATTGGTGTTGAAAATCCATCCGGCTTCACTGGCTATGTCCTCCAAACGAAAATTCATGTATAGGCGGTAGATTGGAATGGTGGCAGTGACCAATGTGAAACTTTGTCGTTGACAAGGGAGTCCAGCGCTGCCCACGCAAAACAAGCGGCATTAGACAGCTTGAACATCTTGCGTTTGGCCATCGGTGGATCAACGTGGAAAGAGTCGAACCCCATGCGATCATTCAGCCATGGTACTCCCGAGGAAAAAAGACGGAAAAGTTTGAGAAGTAGCAATTCCTCAACAGGATGAGGAGACATTACAGATGGCGTTGCAAAGTTGGTCTCATGCCTGGATCTGGTTTATGTATGAGATTTGGCAAGAAAAAGGGCTATGTTCAATCTTGAGATGATTTCGCAACTGGGAGATCAGTAGGCGATGTAAAACTTTGAAAGAATGCCATTTACTAGAAAAAGGTCACGAGAAAATAGCAAAAAGATGTCTTAGGTAGGTGCCAGAGTAAGCGAATATTTTGTTCGGTTGGGGTCCCGCGCAGAATTGACGTCTCTCACCATACTGGCATCAATCCAAGTGACGTCCATTCTGCGCGGGACCCCAACCTGAACAAAATATTCGCTTACTCTGGCACCTACCTTATCGGTCGATGCTCGCTTTTCCAAATTTAGACATTTGGCATGCTCGCGAGAAGTGAAAACATGGGAATCATGGTAGTAAGATTACTCATCGGACGAAGACGATAAACTAATCAGGATTATTTGATGAGATAAACGGTGTGGAAAGGCGAAAGAGCGTACGGGAATAGAAAAAAACCTCTCAGAAGCTTCATGGTGACTGACTCATAGGCCGCGAAAACAAAAGGCTAAAGCAGAAGCGCCCTCAAACTGCAACATCGCAAAGATCTTAAACTCTTTAAAACTATTGAGTGGCACAAAAT